GTAGTGTTTTTCCTAAAACTCAGACACTGTGAAGTGTGATGTCCTGAGTAAGTAACACAGTGGTATACAGATGGATGCGTAACTTATACAATGTCTTTAAAATCACTCTCAATGCCAATTACCAATTAAAAGTGTTAGGTCTACTAAAAAACAGATTAGACCTTGTATATCTAATAAAACCTGACTTGACTGAGTCTTTGTCAAAGATTAACCTCTAACCTCCTTTTACTGTATATTTTTTAAATGCTTATGTAGACCTTGTTCTGTAAAAAGCGAATAAATCTAAATAGTAATATAAATAGCGGATAAATCTAAATATGTGCTCTTAAAATATGTGTAGCTGTTCAAGGGGTAAAACAATCACATTAGCAAAGGGTATCGAATTGTGATTTTTTTTTTTTTCATTCACATAGTGGTGGCATATGGTCATTCTTAAGCATTTTAGGTTTTGTTTTTTTCGTAAATTTAACTGTGAGTGGCAAGATCGGGGTTTAAATCTAATCTAAGGACGTATTAAATGAATCTCTAATGATGGTAACTGACATTTACTGTTCCAGTCATTTCAAATATACAACGGTTTTTCAGTTGTCTTTCTCAGACCTTACTCAGACCTTGCTTAGCACAACTCTATCAAAAGAAAACAGCGTGGCCCTGTGTCCAGATCTTTACTGTCAGAGCCTACCGCAACTGTCAAGTTTAACCATTTCTGCTGACCTTAAGACAAAAGACTAAACTTTCATCATCTGCAAACGACCTCCACATTTTCATGCAGTTTTTTATCTTTAACAATTGTGCACTTTTCACATTGCATAGTCAGATAAATCATAGAACTGATATTTTAGTTTGACAAGATGAAACATTGACACAATGTTTGGTACCTGTCTGAATCTAATCACACACCAGTGCCAATTTCTTTTAGTGATTGCGATGAAACAAATATTTCTTATTGTGCAAGTTCTCAACACATTAGAAATGATCGATTTCACAGTTTGCTTGGAAATCCAGTGCTGTAGGGATCAGGACATTTATCATTTGGCACAGTTATAATCTTGCCCAGGGCATGATATTTCACCAATGTGAGTGACCTTTGGAAGAAAGAGAAGTGTAGGGATGGGTGAGAAGTTGTGTTTCAGAATGCCCCAGTGGACTGAGAAGTGGGTCAGGTGTGGAGATGTTTTGCTGTGAAAGCTTTGCATAAATATCTGAAGCTTAAGTGGGTCACGGTGAACCTTGATAACTATCTTGTATTGTTGGATGATGGAACAATGCAATTGAAAGGCCAAACATGCTCATTTACTTATTTGTCCAACAATTGCATAGTGGAGAACATGGTTTGTGTTTGTTTTTATCGTGTAATTCACTTGTTGCACTCTGAACATGACATGAGAAAGGGTCTTTCACGATCAGTCCATTATTTCATTTGGTTGTAATAAGGAATGCACTGAATTATCGGCCAAAAAAAGGCCCTAAAATGCATTTTCAGGCTTGTTGAACATCTTTTTTTTTTGACTAGGCAAAACTGCGTTAGAGATATCTGCAAAACATATCCAGTTTAGTGTTTAAATGTTAATAGGGCTTGTCATAAGTACCAACATGTCTGCGATGTGGACGTATTAAATTTATCTGAGAAAGGCCCATGGATAGCGATTTGTAAAACCTGTAATGCTGAATTTTCAAGAGGGTGTGAATAGTACACTCAGGGTCTGTCAGCACACGTTTCACTGAGATCTATTCAGATCCCCTGCACTCATTGTGACTGCACTTGATCTGCGTTATAAAGATCATTACGCACGAGAAATGATCCAGACCGTGATGGACGGAGAGAACCCACTTGGAGACAGAAGCTCACAGCACAGGAGAGGGAGACCAATGTGCCAGATGAAGGGAAGGCATCGACGTTGTCCGATATGTTCTATGAGATGCTGCAAGAGAGTTCCTCCAATAATAATAATAATAATAATAATAATAATAATAGGTAGGCTATTCTGTTCTGACTTTGTATGTGACTATCAGTTGATTTTATTTCTCTGCCAGAGAGTTGACAATTAATTATTTTGACAATTAATAATTTATTATTATTTGGTTTTATTGAGGTTTAGTACACAGTCATAGCCATAAATGCAATGGTTCTAATAAATGGCATAGATTAGGATTAGATAACATATCAGCATTATAGTTTTCTGCTACATTCCAGGCAAATTCTTTGCTACCTTGTTATCCAGTGTTTAATACCAAACACTAAAAAAGATCTTTATATTCTCCTCCCCCGCATTTGTTTGGAGTAGCTAGAGGCAGCATCATCCCAAAGCATGATGATTCACACTGACTGTTTCAGTACTATCTATGCATTGTTGTTTTTCCTTGTGGTATTTTGTACAAAAGTCTAGATTTTCAACAAGTTTATCTCTCAAAGGTCCCGATCAAGAAAGTTTTCCTTGGCAAAAGTCCAAAACATCACATTGTCTAGATCAGGTAGACTTGGCTGACATAAATGTAAACAGCACAACCTTTTAAATTCAACATTTTCTTCCATTCTCTCTGACTCACTCTCAGACCCACCACGTATCCAATCCTCCTAGTAAAGGGCACCTCCCTCTTACACCACCTTCCTCAGATTTCATGTTTCCATTGGCTGAATTGCACCACATCACATGGTCTGTGAGATAAGATTAGCGCCATAATGGCTAGAAAAGCTGCCCTGGTGAAAATACAGAAAATGTGTTACTGTGTGTCAATCGTTGCTTTTTTTGTCTGTCGATTTAGATGTGGATTATATTGTTTCTGGGTCTATAATTTTCATATTGCACCATAAGAGCAAAGCTATATATGTTTTGTTTTCCCTTTTAAAAACTACATACAGACAATGATTCTTGTGTGCTTCCCATTTTTACTCTTCCATCTAAGTGAGTGGGTAGTGACGAAAGGGAACAGTGTCGTATGACACGGAAATTCTCAGAATATGTAGTCTACATTAAGCAAGCTAAAACATACTCCTTTGTCAAGTGATACTTTCTCATATTACCAACAGGAAGTAGGTCTTTTTTTAATTTGAAGCTTTTATTGTCTTATGCTGTTGACGGGTTGTATTCACACGCTTATTTTGTGTGAACTTCCTGGCATTGGCAGGCATTCCACAACGTTCTGCAGCTGTTCTATTGGCTTCTAAACACTCTAAATCTTTACTGTGTAAAATGATTTGGCTATAAGAAAAAATACTGTTTGAATCTTTTCAGGATTTTTTTCTGGTTGCTCATATTTACGGTCATGATGGCAGATCATCTGTTTGCCTGTCACACCATTATGTTTAAAAGTCATGTTAAAGTCTTTTCAGTGTGTTCTGTGTCTTATCGTCTAGTCCTTGCCTGCTTCAGCACTTGGCAAATGTACTTCACCCTGGCCTGTCTTACGTTGAAGAGGAACTTGTCAACTGTACCTCAGATGCTCTTTTTTTGTTTTAAATCTTTGTTCATCCTGGCAACTATTAGTTCGTCTTTCAGCATCTTCTACTCACCACGGTCTTTTAGATGGTTTCTTAGTCTACAAACTCCCATGTTAGCAGGTCGACTACCTAAAGGTGCGTTTTGTAATCCAATTTTACAAGGCTGGAGTACAAAAATAGCCAAGCATGGCTTATACTCAATGCTGACATTGTTGCAGAGACCACAGGTGTATAGAATGGGGTGGGGCTCATACATGATGCTGCTTTATTTTCATCTAATACTGTTCTTTTCTCTGACACACTTGAGAGTTTTCCTTCACAGACTCCACCATGACTGCACACTCTCTTGCACCTGTGTTGTGCACTGTCTATTGCTTTGGGTGGATGACACCACACATCAATAGTCTGTCTTCTGTTGGGTGCAGAAAACCACCTCCCCATATTTTGCCCCATTACTCTCACTGCGGTTATTTTTCCATCTATTCTCTTCTCTTGTTTATTTTTCCACACTTGTCAGGTTATCAGAACTATCTTTATTTTATACTTTACACATTATGTTCTTATTGTTACTGAAAGACTGTTCATATTCTTTAGGCTTAAAATGGTAATGTTGATATTTCTCATTTGTACATCTGTTATGCTATGTCAACTTCACTGCTGTATTATTTAAACCAAAAATCTCAACACCATGTTTGGTACAGCTCTGTCTTCAGTCGGGGCTATTTTCCCCTCTTATCTGCATTAGCTCAACCATTTGCTCCCACGGGCAACAATTCACAGCTTACACCTGCTTCTGGGAAATCTTGGGGTTTCTTCGGAAATGGATTTGACGAGAGAAAATGCCAACAGTACTACTCAGAGTCACAGTGACCTCGCCGGCCTGTGGAGTTGCCACTCTTCTCTCTTCCATCTGCAGCTGTTATTGTCACTGGAAAGAGACACATGATGCTTGCAGAGCCAGAGTTGGCATTAACTGGATTAACTTAAGCAGCCATTTTATTAAAAAAAATACACAGTCTTCCTGGAGTAAATCACCGTTGGGTCAGCTAAGGCCTCATTGCTTAAAGCTGTTGCAACCACCAGGATAGAAAGGATCATTTTTCTTTTTGAGAAAAGAAAAACGTCTGCATAGTTTTGGAGGCTGGGGAATTTTGACAAAAGATTTGTACAGATTTTTGAAACATCTGGTTGAATGTGTGCCTAAGCAGGAGTTTATTAGCTGGCAAGCGTCAGTCTCATTAGCCTTCTAAACAAGACTGTCATTCCCATGAGACACATTATAAGGAATGCTTCACAGTTGAGCTGTCACAAAGTAATTTCTGCAGATATCAAATTGCAAATACCTGAAGCCTGTGTTGATTAACAGAAACCAAGTATACCTTGCATTTTTTCAGAGAAATAGAAGCATACAAGGTTACTACAGATATGTTTATGAGAATGATTTAGATTTCATTGCTTTAAGTTCCTCAGTAACCTTATTTCTGTGTCATGCCTGTTTTTTCATTGATTTATTACTAGTTTTGTGTCTGAAAACATGCTTAAAAAACATCCTTCTTTTTAGGTGCCATCCTAGGACGCTCAGAGACCCAAGAGTGCGCCTACTACAACTCCAGCTGGGAGAAAGAGCGCACCAATCGCAGCGGCATCGAACCCTGCTATGGTGAAAAGGACAAACGGAGGCACTGCTTCGCCACGTGGAAGAATGTCTCTGGCACTGTGGAGGTGGTCAAGCAAGGATGTTGGCTGGATGATGTCAACTGTTACGACAGGTCTGTGGTTGTTACACCATAAAGAAATCAAATCCGTAACAAATAGAATTGAATTTGATGAAAAAAAATGTTCTTTTTTAGTAAGCTTTTTTAGTAAGTGTGATTTTTCAATCCGTTTTTTGCAGATTCCAATTTCCTTTAATTGAAAGCACATACAAATGTAAAGTGTTGATCAGTGCAGAATGTTATCATCATAACAAGTCATTTTGAAACATTCCCCACTAACTGAACACAATCACTGGTTCTCTTCCCAATTGAACAACTTCCAAAAACAACTTTGGTCACTAGACCAAGAGGTACTAAATGAAAATGAGTTCAAGAATGTATGACTTCTCTTTCTTTCCTAGTTTTGTAGTGAAATGTCCAATAGTAACAAAAGTAAATGAAAACGTTCTCTCTTTCATGAATAAGCAGAGAACATGTGCTGGGGCAAAGAGCTAATTAATAAGCATCAAAATATGTTTTTTGATAATTAAAAGCATGTCAGCTTGTTCTCAGGCATTTTCTCTCATCTACCAAACACCATGCCAAAATAAATAAACGCTTGCACGACTTGCGATAGCTCCAGAAACGCTACGTCTGGAAAAACAACATGCTGGCCCTATTTGGCTTGGATTGTTCGGGAGAATGATGGTGTTTCTAGTGCTTTGATTAGTTTTGTCATTCTGAACAACTCTGCACTGACTGAGAAACCTGTGTTCAGGTTAACCAAATGGGGGTTAACCTGAACACAGGTTTCTCAGTCGGTGCAGTTTTTTTCTATACAAATCTAAAAACTGGCTGTTTACCTGAATTCATGGTTTTCTTTCTGCCTTGGACTTGGTTCTTGCCTAAAATCATTTGAACACATACAAATCATTGTGTCTGAAATTAAAAAATCTTCTATTGTATTCATAGAGTAGAAGAGAAGAGAACAAATAGACATTTTTAAGCCTTTTTAATTACATCTCACAGAGCACACGAGGGCAGCTTGAATGTAAATATTGAAGAAATTACCTTCAGGACAGTTTTTGTCCCTCTGTGTGCTCCTCTCTTAAAATGACTTGCACAAAGCTACATTTTAATTACATTTGAAAGATTCCTTTGTGAATATCCACAGTCTGGAAGTTCTAACCCATAAACTGTGCACAAATGCTATTTTTTAGGTATGAAAAATACCTAGTTTAGTCAAAAAAGATCACACTGGCACCAGATGCCAGATTGGGTGATTTCTGTATGTTTTCTTTTGATTTCTGGGCAATGGAGTTCGCAGTCTGCACAGATTTGGTACCTCATCTCAGACGGCGCCGCCTCGCCTCCTGGGAGAGTCCAGAGAAAGTTGAGGGCGGGTGCCACTTCCTTTGGCTTTTATCTGATGACTGTGATTATGCAAGCAAGAGTGTGTGTTCCGGTGTGTGTGTTCCTGTGTGTGTTTGTGATTGTGTGTGTCTGTGTGGGCATGTGTTAGTGTGCTCTGTATACCATCTCCCACAGATGTTATTTTGTAAATGTGTATTTTTCATTGAAAGGGGGGAGTGCATTAGGGTGTTAAACATTCTGCGCAGCGTTCATGTTCACGTTCTAACGTGGATCTTCATGTCTTTTGCAGTAACAAGTGTGTGGAGAGGAAGCTGAGTCCTGATGTTTTCTTCTGCTGCTGCGAAGGCAACATGTGCAACCAAAAGTTCCTGTACGCCCCTGAAGCACAGACTGACCCCCACCATACAACTGCTTACAGTACGTACACGAAAACAAACAGGACGCAGATTGTTCCACTGCTTATCTTGTATACAAGTCGGCACACAAAATACACGCACACACGCACACCCAGATGTTAATATACAAATTATGCTTGGTATCACTGTATACAAATCGTATACAAGTTAACACACAAAATACACACACATATATTTACACACAAATTATGCTTTGGTATCATTGTTTTGTTTATCCTTCTCCACTCTGTTTTGTTCTTAATGTTAATGTCTGTCACAAACTGTTGTGTTCGTTTGGCATTACATCAAGTCAATCAGTCCAGAAACACCACAACAAAAAGACAAGAACATTCCACTGCTTATTAAAAAGAATTTCTTTTTTCATGCTCAAACGCACATGGCTCTGTATGAAACATGTCATAGATAGAAATAAATGTCCAAATATAAACACTTTTTGAATGTGAGTTCCTCAGTTTTTTCACGTCCTAACCCACCGCTGCTCTTCGATGTACATGTATTCACTATGTAAAAGAAATAAAAAAGCACTAAGAGCATGTGGTTTTTATTCAGTTAAATTATACATTTTTTGTGGCGTCCAGCTTGTATATGATGCAGCATCATTTCTTGTCCCTTTGTTAGAGTTTAGTTTTCCATTCATTTTTTCTATTTAGAATTGTGCCCAATAGTGGTGAATCAGAGGCTCTTGAACATTTCTTTTGTCGATGTCTGTGGTCTGAATAGCCTTAGGCTTATTTTCAAAATTTTCAAAAGTTTTTAAAAGTTGACCTTGCAAATCCCGCACACAGCATATAGAAAAATATCCCAAAATATCCCTTGAGAGTTTCCATTTAATTCTTTCTGTATAAACATCTGACAGTAATGCCTAATCCAACTGCTATTTTTTGGATTAGAAGGCCCAGCTGAACTAGCAAGTGTCACCAAGCAAGTCCTGCAGAAGTCAAACCCACTGTTATTTTTGTCGGGTGTATTACAATATGTCACAAGATGAAGCTGCTAATCCCACCTTATATGTATGTTTCAGACCTGTGTCAGTGTGCGTTTGCATTGGTACGATCTTTAAGCATGGTTACAGGGAGCTTTAAGCAGATTTAGTGCAGCATCTAAAAGCAGTCAGAAGGTGAAATAAATGAGTTTAGCCTTGGAATTATTCTATATGTTATAATTTGTAATATCTATATAGTGTGTTAATGACCATGTGAAAATTTCTTTCTTTTTTTTTTACAGCAACTTCAAACCCATTTTCCCCAAAGCCCCAGCTTTTCAGCACTCTACTTTACTCACTGGTTCCAATCATTGGCCTGGCTGCTGTTGTCCTCTTCTCTTTTTGGATGTGGAGGCATCACAAACTGGCTTACCCAGCTGCCCTGGTTCCTACACATGTAAGTATATAAAGGATATAATAATATTAAATATATGAACACAAAACATATGCCGGAGCCTTCTAAGTAAAGCAGAACAACACAGAGGATTCATACCTTTGACTGAACACTAGTCCATTTTCACATAGTTTGTATTTATAGTTTAATTTTGGTCACTTGTTGTAAACACTCCTTAGTCTCCCCTGTAGTCTGTTAAAGAATCTGATCAGGGAGTTAAATTTGGCGTAACTTCATTGATAATTTCTATAACAAATAAACGATTTCTGTGCAAAGTAAAGTATTTGCTCTAGGAATTACTTGATGCACACATGATTGAGTAATATTAATAACTATATAATCAAGGATATGTCTGCACTTCGTTTATGATACTTTCACCTCTGATCAGTGAGTAGTAGTCCCCGCTTCAAGCCTGCTGTACGGTACCTGACAGAGAGTACGCGGTCGTCTCTATTTAACCAACCTTCAACTCTTCTACTGATCCATTTTCTCTGTCGGCCCAAATGGCCTTGGCCTTTTCTGCCCCTTCACTGCAGAGGGACAGAGCTGTGGTCAACAGGCACTTTACAGTTTGTTCTTGGATAACTGCTTTTAGTTTCTTCTTTAAACGTTGTGAAGATACGCCATACACTGTTTGAGTTTTTATATATACATCATCATATCAGATGTGCTTTTAAATGCACCAGACGAGCGTATCATATGATTGTTTTTCTATATTAGAAGCCATTTAATTTTGCACATTCAAAGTACAGGACGCCATTTTAAAGGTAAAGTAATAGTAAGAATCTCTAAGCTACTCTGTACCCTTTCACCTACCATAATGCCGTGTTTTCATGCAATCATCTGTTCCTGCTCTTCCGCGCTTTTTATTACTGCACCTTTTTTTCACGTCCTCACCCAAATCAACCAATTTCATCAGTCAGTTTCAACACCAGCAGCAGTACAGCTATACTCGTTGCTGCTGGGCAGCAGTGCGAGGGGAAAAAAAAGCTGAGCAAAGCTTCTATCACTGTATGGAAGAAGAGTCGGACACCTCTACATTATTGATGGGGTCTTATATAGGCAAACAGAACCAAACACACACACTTGTGTACATGAAGTGCCTGAGAAGAAACATGCAGTTATTTTATCTTTAATTTATTACATTTGCCCTAACACTAAATCACAGGCAGAAACAGATACTAGAGCAATGTATGCAGCGCCTGTGTTGTGCATTGGGGAAAAACAACACCGCTAAGCGGCTTATGAATTATCTTACCCAGAAATGCATCTATAAATAAACAAATACATTCATGAAATGAAATAAGATCATAACCAAAGGCGATAGGATCAAATAACAATTGATCATACATCTTGGAAAAAAAACTGCAAAAGACTGATAAAAAAGAAAGGGAGAAAGAAATGTAATAAAAGCCAGAGTACAACACTACAAAAATACAGTTTACCCTGATAAATTAAAATCTTTTTTGTGAGAAAGTGTAATTTTTTATTCTTTTCTTTACTAAAAAATAGATTGAATCAAGATTGAAAGTAGAAAGTTGATATGGCCCAATAATGTGCTTCCAACATCCCCACCGTATTTGACACCGAGCCTCTGTTATTCACACTTTGGTGCAAATTTGAGGCAAACTGCAAATGATTCTCAGTGGACACTCAAAGCCAGGTCATCTTTCTAGCTAGTAACCTTCCTCATCTTCTTTTATCTTTTGAATTAATTCAGACTGACCCTCACCTGGAGTTTTTTTTTCTGAAATGCTTCCATCTGGTTCGTCTGACATTCCAAAGATAGAGTCCTCAGGGGGAATTGATTTCACATACCAAACATAATTACCAGCCCTCAAACTATGGCACTATGGGAAATTATAAAGAGCAATTTTGGATTTATTATCCCTGGATTAGAGCTGTAAAAACGTAGAGAATAGTTAATGATGCCATACAGTAAGTAAGATTAGAGATGTCTTTAGGTCGGGAGAAATTGGCCTAATTCTCCTCAGCGGGAAGTAAATGGCACTTGTCTCCCCAGTCTTTAATTGCCTTCCAAATGGCAAAAACAGACACCTGTGATTAATATTCATTTTGAACATGTGATAAAAATGGGCCTCAAAAAGATTTTTGTTTGATGTCCACCCCCAATAGAATGGAAGTAATTTTTCAATCACCTTGTACGATATTTGTCCGTTATATGAACTACAGCGATCTGTGGCCCGTTTTGTGCCACAGTCCAGAGTTTTTACAACTCTCCCAATGAAAAGGAAGAACAAACAGCTTTTCAGGGATGACCTTTAATCGCCCGTCTTTTACCTGCTTCTATTTCATCCACTAACCAAGAGAAAAAAGCAACAATTTCTCTGTTTGCTTCTTATTTTCCTTTTTGACAAGCACGCCTTTCACATAATGGTGGAGGTAAGAGCAGATTTACTGAAGTTTAAGCACTGTTAGCTTCCCCACCCTCCCCCACACCACCCCCGTTGGGTTCAGAGCTTGGTATGAACTCCTCACCCCTAAATGCAGACCACCGTTTTGTTGATTTGCTTCTTTGCGACAGCTCCATGTTTACTTCGTTTGCACCACCGTTCTATTTGCTTCTTTCCTGCCTGAGATAATGCATGGATGGATGTCCATTTCTACCCTATTTAAATATTGTGCATGGATTGAATATGATCAACATGGCTCTGAATGCAGCCCACTGCCAACCTCCCTCTCATTTGCTGTATGAATTACCATATGTGGTGTTTATGTAATCCATGTGGGTACAGTAACCCAGTTTGCAGAAGTCTATCCATCTGGGTCTCCTGCAGAGATACGAAGCATGAAGTGTTCAAAACTAAAAATGCAGCATGCCTCTCTGTTTCACGTGTAAAGTGAAGAAGACCGCGAGCAGGAGGAAGAGTCCGAGTGCTGTTTGGAAACAATCTGAAACCTATTCTAACTTGTACGTCACTGTAGACTTGACAGGTACCTTAACAAAGGACAAACCAAACCAGGCCTAAGTGACTTGTTTAGAAGTAATAGATAAATGCGTAATCTGATTAGGACATGGAAGATGGTTGAGGGATTGGAAGAAGGGCATGAAGCAGCACATTCAGATTTCCTGTTTCCTGTGGTCTGCTGACTAAGTGTAATGCACCCTGGTTTGAGGCCATGGCGCCCTGTGATCGGACAAGGGATCCAGTGACTCCCGGGGGAGGCCTTGCTTGGACTGAGCCAGGCTGCCTCTTCAGCCTGAAGCCTTGAAAATAGACAAGAGTTTCCAGAAATGAAGAATGTACAAAAAATGAAACAAGAAAAAATATTGGTAAATCAAGCAGCAGTACATGCAGATCGCTGAAAGAATGTGCAGGAGCTCAGTGAATTCAAGTGTAGTACCATAATAGGATGTCACAGGTGCAATAACTCCCTCTAACAAAATGGAAGTAACTAGGAATCATAGCAACTTAGCGTGGTCAGAGCATGCTGAGGTGGAAAATGCAAAAAGAAAAGGCAGTTGTTGTTTGGCATTTTCAGTAGCTACACACCTCTGAACTTTTGTGCTACCTTAACACTAATACACAGAGAGCTTCATGGAATGGGTTTTCATAACCAAGCAGATTCACGAGCCATACATCACCAAGGGCAGTGCAGAGTGCTAGTTGCAGTGGTGTAGAGCACTTCTCTACTGGGCCTACAGCAGGAGAGACATGTTCAGAGTGATGAATCATGCTTTTCTGTCTGGCATCACGATGAAGACTAGCGTTGCCCTTACAGCAATGGGTCAGTGTACAGTTCAGTAATGGAAGGATTATGGTTTGACTAGTTTTTCAGCGTTTGTCCTTACTCTGTCCTTAGTTTTGGTGAAAGGAACTGTTAATACTCCAGCATCAAATTTTGGATTCAAGCACATCAATTGCGTGATTTGTAAATATTAAACAAACATATATTAAATGAAAACGCACTCAAATATGATTATATTTAAACAAATTGCGTCCTCCGTTGCAAAAAATCTATGGATTTTTGAACAGCCGGCTACTCCAAGACAATGATACGACTTGATTCATGTCATAATGCCGCCACCTGCATTCAGGAGAGACAAAGTCGTCAGTCCACCTTAAACGGTTTTAGTTGAACAAAAACACAATTCACGCAAATGCTGTCGACTCTCACTCAGTCCTCCTCACATATTAGGATCACGACTCTATCAGCAGATGTACAACTGACAGATGACACTGGAGACAACTCTTCATTACAATTGAATGATACGGTGTCATTCTATATCATTCTGTTTATAAATATATCAAAACATTTCATGTATATATATCGTCCATTCCTAGTGTAAATTTTCATCCAGTAGTGTCAACAACGAGGCATCCGATTGGACCAAAATCATTTTCTGCAGCAGATAAACAATTATGATGTAAAATAAAAATAAATAATAATATAATAAATAATAATAATTATTTCAATGTACAGAAAAAGGAGTATTAATGTAATTATTTGTCCCTCACAAAAATGTCAAATAGATTTTTTTTGTCTATTAATTTACTTTGAAAGCAGTTAGCAAAAATCACATTTTAATTTATGTAATTGTTCTTACTTGCCATACCTGCCTAAAAATTAGAATGATTAAAAATTATGCTCAGTACTGTACATAATTGTTTTTCCTTCTAGAGCTTTAGGTCTAAGCAGAGGTCCAGACTGAGTGAAACTAGATCTTTGTCCATTTTGTCCGATATTCCTCAAGCTCCAACACTGCTGCCAGATGCGCTGACGTCTGAAATTACAGCCTCATGCTGTCCACCACCAAATCCTTGAACTTTAATCAATAAGGGTCACTCGTCAAACTGGACTGTATTTTTCTCTACATGATATTGGAAACTCATGAGCCATTGAATTACAAGCATAACCATAAGATATGCTACAGTGTTGCATGGCAAATTGGGAAAATTTTAGTTTATTTTTATGTCAATTGACAACAACATGAAACAACCATTTTTATTGATTGGTTGACTGTCATTTCTGTAAAGGTGTGTAAAATGTCCCCTGACCATCCCACGTGAAATTCGACATCGTCTTTTGTCAAGTCGTGTTATGTCATACAAAAACTCAGCAACAGCTGTTACTTAAAATAAAATACTACACTAAGATTAGAATTATTTTCACACTTGACCATTTATTTTCAATGGCAGGATTTTTAGGTGCTAGTTGATCACTGGGTTGCGAATTTTTATACACGTCTGAAATACAGGATTTTAATTTACAATCGATATTAATTTGATCTTTCAAATATTTAAATATCTTGTGGGGGATGTGTAACTCAACATAATCTTTATCCTCACAGCCAATGCCCAAGCATCTGATTTCCAAGTGAAGCTCCATAAATATTACTAAATGATATAGTTTTCTTCTGTAGCAGCAACAATCCTGTTTGGACAGGCTCTAAAAACTGGAAGCTGTTACCTTTTGCTTCTGTTTCTCTACCTGTGTTTTTTTTTCCTCTGCTCATTGTTTTACTTGTTGTTTTCAGCTGTATTATTGGTATTAAGTTTTGAAGGCGATACTTCAGGGTAAAAGTAGATTATCCTGTCGAAATGCCATGAAAAAATGAAATCAGATTAAAAAACATGAACTTTTGATACATTGTCCCGGTGTGTCTGACAATCCTGGCTCTGGGCCTCGGGCTCTTGAACTTGCTTCAGCTTATCAAGCAGTGTAAGCCTTCAGTTCAAGTAAAAACATGAACGCTGCTTTGGTTTTCGGGAATACGATTTTCTTTTGGACTGACAGCAATGACACAAAAGTGCGGAAGTCAAGTTGAGATCCTTAGAGCAGTATATCTGGTTTTGTCAAAGGCCGTCGGTCATGTGCTAGTTTTTCTCCTCTACCTTTTATCCTTGGGGAAATGTGACTCCTTCGCTGCATGCTTATTCAAACCTCTCCTGCTTGAACCTCACTCTCCCAGTGTCTCTCTGTCCTCCCTCACTCACTCTCTGTCTCTCTGTCACATGTGAAAGTGATCAAATTAATCCTGCTTTGTTTTATACGCTTTACATCTAAAATACCTTATTTTCTCAGGTTTAATTTACTTTAACATGGGTCTAGAGTGAGTACAAGACATACATGATATTTGGTCTTAATGTAACCATTTTCTTCTTGTGTAATTTGTAATTAGGTTTGCACAGTTCACATTCATTCATGTCAGAGCTTGTGCTTCAATGCTTACGGGTAGTTTATGCGTTAAATTGTATCTGCTAATGCGCTGTTCCACAGCCTCTCATTGGCTTCAAAGGACCAAACCTTCAAGCTGTCCGTCTTCTGTAAACTGAAAACAAATCTGTTAGCGAACGTAGCCCAAAGGTCTTTCAGTGAATAACAAATGAACTCTGCTGGGTGAGCTGTGTGGGTATGCAGTAATAATTATACTTGACATCCCAATAAAGAAATCTCAGTTTGCTTTTCTGGTTTAGCATCCAACTAAAACAGATAAGCAACGCATAAATTAAAGTGTATTTTGTTAAAAGAATGCAGATCGGTCACAAATGTAAAAAAAACAAAAGAAAAAGATGAAAAAGAAAGTTGATAACAAATAGCCAGTCTTGAAAATGTGATTTAAGATATGAAGATGATATTGATTTTGTTGTCCTCATCTCTGAGCCAAAGGCCAGGTCACCTTCAGTGTAAACCTACGCCTTTTTAACTTTTCTATATCAAACAAAAACATTTCCAAATAAAATATTTCGCATCTCTTTCTGTCCACCCTCCCTCCAGGATCCTGGCCCAACACCTCCATCCCCCCTTTTGGGACAAAAACCATTGCAGCTGATTGAGGTAAAAGCCAGGGGGCGCTTCGGGTGTGTCTGGAAGGCCCAACTTCTTAACGATTATGTGGCAGTCAAGATCTTCCCGATTCAGGTATGAAAACTGGAAGCACATTTTTGAGTGAGTAAATTGAATAAATGTAAAAGTGGATCAAAACAGAAACATTAACAGGATTTATGAGTCCCATAATGGTAATAAGTCATTAAATTGTCCACAACATTTTTATGGCTGAGAAGTTGACATTTGTGATTTGTATCTTGTTTTCCTCTTTGTAATTTGATGTTGTTTCGTTTACGACACTTGTGCAGAGGTCTACATTTTTGATGCAGTTGTATTCATACAAGTGTATGTATACACAAGAAAATGTCAATAAATATATTCTTCAAAAATCTTGTTTAGGACAAGCTGTCCTGGCAGAACGAATATGAGATGTACAGTGTGACTGGCATGAAGCACGAAAACATCCTTCACTTCATCGGCGTGGAGAAGAGAAACAATAACCTGGACCTGGAGCTGTGGCTCATTACTACCTACCATGAAAAGGTGCTCCGTCAGTGTAGTTTATTATCCATAAATGTTATTCTAATTTAACTCTGTAGTTTGTAAACTTGTTAATGATATTATTCATTGTTCTCAGGCAATATTTTTACACAACATACATTTCATTAAACATAAAAACGCCTAACTATTTACAACAGTGGAAAGTGTGCCCTCTGAGCTTCAAGGCAATTTTATTTGAATAGCTCAGATTCACAATTCACATTCGTCTCTCACAGTGTGAAAACCAGGGTGTGTACAGTCAAAGGGTCTGGATGATGTTCGCTCAAAGATTCCTGGTTTCTATAAATATACAAATTGCCGCTTTGTGAGGTCAATAAATGAAGACATTGGCGACGGCTGATAGATCATAAAGCAGCCGTTGCAGCCATGTGTGTGTGTCACAACTCAAGACACACACCGCTGTAATGACATTGTGTTGATCAGGGGACTGACGATTTTGAAGAACGTTCACAAGCCGCCGTTACAGTTGTCGTTGTCAGATTCGATTGTGCCGTTTTAGCCAGGCATAAAAGTCGCAGACGTGTGTGTCGAGACAGTCGGGCTTCAGCCTGCTTCACAACGGCAGTTCCTAACGGCAGGCATAACCACAAAACATCGCTGAAAAACGTGCTTTTATTTCCTGCATGCCACAATCATGTGTAATGATGCATCCAATTGCTGGCGAATATTTGGACACCGAATCTTGGCTCTGAAAGACGAGGCATTTTTTTATACGCAATACTACCTAAGTACTTCGGTAATACTGAGTTTCGGTACCTTTAAAGAACTGAAGCTTGGTACACATACCTCGATGTGGCTAAAATGCTCGATCCCAGCTGTTCAGCTCTTCAACTCTTCAACCCTGGATCATATCTCAAAATGCCAGGATGTGTTGGCAGCAGAGTGGAAAGAAAATGGAAGAATTGTGTTTGAAAGAACTTTCATTGAAGGTCAAATGGCTATAGGATATATCAAAAACAGTGCCTTGTCAAACACATACTGTAATTATTGTGTACGCCTCTGGAGGATTCATTACTGAGAATCCGACCTCTTCCTCTTAAGCAGGTGTCACAGTGTGATGCCTCACATCCAACCGAGTCTTGGTTTGTGCAACACAGCTGGAACAGTCAACATCTCCCTTGACGGCTGATTTGTGGTGGTGTTAGATTTATCTAAGCGTGCAGTGGCTTGCCTCAAAGATGTATTCAGTGCTCAGAAACTCCCCTTTTGTAACATCTTGTCATATTGTGGAGACATTTGCTTTTTTCAACACTAAAAAGGCCTGGAAACAAACTCCAAACACAAGTTTAAACAAACAGAGACGGGGATATCTATCCAAAATCAGGACAATGGAAATGGTTCCTTTTCAGTTTTCCCTCTGCTACATGTTGTGAAGAAGTATTCCCTCTAGTGGACAAATCGTTAAAGTGCATCTTTGTGGCTTCATAACTAGATGTGACCTTGGGCTACATTAACTTTGATTATGCAGGAACAAGGGTAACACTTTACCAGGTGGAATTTTGGCCAGTCTTAGATGTATTCATGTGTTGAGTGGTTTTTCTTATGTGTCGTCGTGAAAGTTCTAATCAATGTCTCCTTCTGCAGGGTTCCCTGACCGACTACTTAAAGGCCAATGTGGTGTCCTGGAATGAGCTCTGCCACATTAGCCAGTCAGCGGCCCGTGGTCTGGCATATCTCCATGAAGACATCCCAGGACACAAGGACGGACACAAACCCTCAATCGCCCACCGGTATCTTTGTCTTTCACCGTGACCTCAGGATCATAGCCCCTCTCGTTTCCTTGATCAATAATGGTGACCTTGTTGCTTTACGTTCCATAGGGACATTAAGAGTAAGAATGTGCTGCTGAAGAATAACCTGACAGCCTGCATCGCTGACTTTGGCCTTGCCCTGAAGTTTGAAGCTGGAAAGTCAGCAGGAGACACACACGGACAGGTAAGTGTGTGTGTTGACACCAGATGTTTGTTTTGGCCATGCCTTTCCAAACCAACAAAATGTATTTATTCAAGAAAAGTTATCCTTCTGATTTGGAATTTGAATGTTAAAATTTACATATTATTTCAGAAAGCTTTTATTCAGGCTTTTATTTGTGTTAAATCGGGGAGGACACGCAGGATGTAAGAGGTTTCAGTCAGACATGTTTCCCAATGCTGTCATTTCTTTATAATAGACGGTAAAAAATGTAACCTTCCCATGAACCTTTTGTTGCAGTTTCTATTTGGATTCTCTGTTATATATGACAAGGTTTTTTATTTCATCTTTACTCTTTTGAACTTGTAGGTGGGAACGCGGCGCTACATGGCTCCTGAAGTCCTGGAAGGTGCTGTCAACTTTCAGCGTGACTCTTTCCTGCGCATTGACATGTACGCTTTTGGCCTTGTCCTTTGGGAGCTTGCTGCAAGGTGTACTGCTGCTGACGGTGAGAGTCCTTACAAAAACACTGCCCTCTGTTGGTTCTACCTGTGTTCTCTTACTACAAATGTATTTATATGTTGGAAATGTGGCTTTATTGACAGGCCCCGTTGATGAATACATGCTTCCCTTTGAGGAGGAAGTGGGTCAGCATCCATCGCTAGAGGACATGCAGGAGGTTGTGGTGCATAAGAAACTGCGGCCCTGCCTGCGAGACTGTTGGCAAAAACACACGGTAAGCATTGACACCCACATGTCCCTGGTTTGTTGTTGAAAATACTAACCTGTAAAGGATTTATGACCTTTCTAAGAAATTCAGCCTGTTTAGAGACATTCAAATCTTTAGAGAGTGAGAGCTGATGTTTCCCTCTGTGTTAGGGTCTGGCTCTGCTGTGTGAAACCATCGAGGACTGCTGGGATCATGAGGCTGAGGCCCGTCTGTCTGCCGGCTGCGTAGAGGAGCGCATCGGACAAATGCAACGCCAGGGCCCCGTCATTGGCCCCGAGGAGATTGTCACCGTTGTGACCATGGTGACCAACGTGGACCTTCCACCCAAGGAGTCCAGCTTATAATCGCACTGACAACAGAGGAGCGCACAGAAACATGGCTCGACACTAGGGGATGAACAGCCAACCCTGGTTGGTTGGCGAAGTGATTTTCCATTCAAATCTTTAGAGAGTGAGAGCTGATGTTTCCCTCTGTGTTAGGGTCTGGCTCTGCTGTGTGAAACCATCGAGGACTGCTGGGATCATGAGGCTGAGGCCCGTCTGTCTGCCGGCTGCGTAGAGGAGCGCATCGGACAAATGCAACGCCAGGGCCCCGTCATTGGCCCCGAGGAGATTGTCACCGTTGTGACCATGGTGACCAACGTGGACCTTCCACCCAAGGAGTCCAGCTTATAATCGCACTGACAACAGAGGAGCGCACAGAAACATGGCTCGACACTAGGGGATGAACAGCCAACCCTGGTTGGTTGGCGAAGTGATTTTCATTTTCATTCTTTCCCTTTTTTTTTTTGTTTGTTTTTCTTCTTTATCTCTTTGTTCCTTTAGTGCGGGCCGCTACTTACGTTCAGGAAACACACTGCGCCCACATCACCAACATCAGTTTTTATCCACCTCATATTTGATATGTGTGCCTAAGGATTTTAACGTTTTCTCACACGTCAATTCAGGATATTAAGAACGACGGGAAACGTAACTGGGTGACACTTTTGATGTGCTGGGTCGACAACACTACACTTTCATCATCATGTCTTGGTTTATATACACATGCACACACACACACTCACAGGAAGGTGACCTGATGTGTGGTGTTCTATAGAGAGAAAGGATCTTAAAGAAGAATTTCAAAAACCTCTCAGCACACTCTAGTGAAATACTAAAGAAAAAAATGGTAAAAACCCAGCTACCAGTACATTTGCTGTTTTCTTGTGTGCTTTTTTAAATTTTTTTTAAAGAAATGACTATCATCTGCCAATAAGCAACGGCTTCTGAATGTTCATAGTTTAATGCTGCTGTACATAGTGTATTATGAACTCAGACAAACTTGGTTATCAAGCTTATTTTAAAGGGGGTGATTGGGACGGAAGGGGAGGGAAGAGTCCATTTTCAAGCATCACAGTGGATTTACAAAAAAAAACGAAAAAAACCCATAAACCTCCTTCAACCAGGTATACCTCAGTTTTGGACGGACACAGTCATCCTTCAACCATCACCACCCTTCATGGTAAAATCTCTGTCGTCTGCCTTTGCTCCGTAACGCTCATTGGACAAATCAGAGACACGTGCACGGCCCGTTCTGCAAAAGTCATGCTCCCTTTTCTGATGCCACATGAATTTTGGACTTTCTACTCCTACGTTTGTTTGAAATGTTCTTCCTGCGATGGAAAAAAAAAATACACACAGAGACATACAAGCGGCCTGTGATGAACTCGTTTTTAAAGTAATTTTATTTTCCCTCTTTGGTTTGCTGTGTCAACTGTCAAAAGGAATTATATCTATCACTGGCAAGTTTAATGTTGGCCATAAAACCTGGATATATCTATATTATATGTATTTATGTCTCTCTGTGTGCTGGGTACCAACTATTGATACTTCTTCTGTGGAAAGCACCAAATCAGGAGGTATTCAAACACTTGGAGATTGTCAGACTCTTGAAGCCGGTTCCTATTGTTATAATTTTATTTGTTGAAATCACATGTCTGGTCTGATTCTATTTAGAAAAAAGTAGATAAAAAAATCAGCCAACATGTTTTCATTTTGGAAAGTAATTAGATTAAGTAAGTGCATATTTGAGGGCAGTTCTGGGCCACCCTGCCCTTCTCTGGAACTGCACCTGTATTTAGCTAAACCAGCTTGCTTTTGATTTGATTGCACAAAATGTTTTGTTGTTTGATCACTAAAAGAGCTGTTGCTCTCTTCTGACACACCTCAGGAATCTTTGCTACTTGCCACACATCTCCACCTTTTTTCTGCCCATACTCACCTATCTTTGACCGTATTTTCCCAATGATTCCTAAACCTGTCACCTTCTTGCCTCGTATCGACTCGTAAGGTCTTAGCCATGCAGTTTCAGAAACAGTCCCCGTGGACCTACATCACTGGACTGAAGACAACACGGTTGTTGCCCCATGTGTTTTACCATCTCCACAAGCCAGAAATGTCTATTCTGGACAGTGCTTGTCTACTAAAACCAGTCTTTCTACAGTTTTCAAAGTTACTGCCCTATATATTTCACATTCAATTTGCCTGTGTTGGCAGACGGGCGTCGGACATCTGGGGTTGTTTGTTTCCTTTATGTTCCTGTACAAAAAAAAACTTCTCAGAGTCTCCTAGCTCAGAGTTGCTAGGTGGACATGTGTACAAAATATGCATTTTGTAAAAAAAAAAATTAAGCCACAATATTGTTTAAGTCATCAGATCCAAAAAATGTGTGTATTTAAGAAAGATATTCTCACATCAATGACAGTAATGGTTGTAGAAACTTGCTGACACCAAAATCTCAAAACTGCAGTTTTCTGATGGAGACCATCTTTTTCTCCCTCTGTCATCTTGGTGCCATTTCTGTGTATCAACAATAGTAACTCTCATGGATGTCAGGCAAAACGGATGTATTTGTCATTGTTGTGAAGGTAGCAATGGCATTTTTGAGTCCTCCTTGTATTTCTCTGCGGGACACTGAACAATGGTGCCGGCAAACCTGCAGTATCTCCTCAAGCTTTGGGACGGTTTTACAGCTCAGTGTTTAAAAATCAAGCATCTAAAATTAGACTCTCTGTGGGGGAAAGATTTCAAAAAGGCAATGTAGAATCAGAGGTGTGCGATATGTCATTGGTCTTACCATAGCACAAATTAGTCAAAACTTCACCACATTTTTATCCACTGCTAATTTTTTTTACTTCAAAAACGGCTATCTAAAGCACTCAATACTCAGCTGTCAGTCTTTTTTTTTTTTTTTACCGCAATCCCCTTTAGCCCTTCAAGAAAATCTACCTCATGAAAAATAATTTTTCTGGGTGGGGTAGAAAGTGTTGCAATAATAGCTGTACATTCATTAGAGGCCTGTCCAGGAGAAGGTCAAATTAAATTGTTCAAATTTGGCTCAAGTTTAAAAAGTAGGACGATTCTTCACATGCTGACTGACGAATACACCAGTGTTAGCCTTTTATCCCAATAGTATCTGACGTCCAAAAAATAAAAATATCTATATATATATATTTCCACCACAGTATTCAGCAGCCAATTGTGTTGTGCTTTTGTTGTTTCCTGCCAATATATCTGGTAGGGTTTCAAATCTACCAGCTACAACTAGAAAAAGAGTGCCAGAACTTACAGTATTGGTCTACAGTATGCTGGTATTTAGTCTAGTTTTCCGTGCGTCACCACCTCCCCTGCAAGTGGTGCTGAAAACCTTCTTTCTATGCCTCATTTCTTGAGTTTCGGTTTGTTTACTAGTTAGGTATCGGACTTTCTTCCCTGTTCCTTCCACATTCCAAATAGAAGCAGATGGTGTAAATTGTTCAGTCTAAATTGATCATGTGATGTGGTTGGTAGTGTGAGGGCCTGTGATGAACTGGTAAACTGCCCACCGTTAACCATGCATTCCCAAATGACTGCTTGGATTGGCTTGCTTCCCTCATAATCCATGATGTTGGGTACACCCAAACTTTGGATTTACCCAGATTCTAGGCTGGAAAGGCATGGAAACAGTAATGACACTATTTAAGAATTTTCTGCAGCTTAATTTTTAAACTGCATCTGTGAAACCGTCCCGAATCGCCTAAAAATATCATTCAGGGATTCAGTACTATGCTTTTCTACGTTCTAGAGAGTTATATGCAACCGGTGCCGCAAACTACCCTACACTTCTGTAGGAACAGCTACAGCAGTGTCATTCAATTTACACACAATCAAAAACCTTGTAGCATTTTACTTTTTTTTTATCCTTGATCTTCATATTGATATGTTGTATTTATTTTTCAATTTACAGGCCTATGGATTTGGGGGATCAGAGTTTCGGTGCAAACTGGAAACAATGGAGTTGGCACGACTGGGGTTGTTTTCAGTTGGACAGTGTTGGGGTTGTTGTTTTTATTTGACTTTTTTGGGGGGCGGGCGGGTTAATTCAGGAAACACTTTGAGTAACTCTAAAAAGATATAAACTGTAACATGCTTCTTTCTACTCAGTCTACATGGACCGAGAATGAATGTTCTTCAGACTCCTGGATTCCAGTATTATGTGCATACTTTGATGGATTGAGCCCAGCCCTATGTAATGTTAGAGGGCTTTGGATTCTGTCTGGTTTTGTGTGATGGTGCCCCCTGTTGGCATAGAAAGAACAGTTTTTAAAAAAAACCCAGCACATTTGGAAATTCACCCATTCTCTGCTTATTTGGACTTTTAGTTACCCCCTCAGGACATCGGCATCTTCAATACAAACCTTTTCTGACTTGACGACAGCAAAACTATCTTGTCACTGACGTGTTGTCAAAAGGTGCATGAACGGGTTCTGGATGTGCAGGCTTGTTATTTCTCCTGTTTTATTTTTTTATTTTTTATGTTTTATTATCTCCACCTCCTGCAGCCCAGCATCTCACATTGCTGTGCATATAAACTACCAGTGGAATGTTTGTGTCTTGTTGTCCCCACCTCCCCCCACCCTTACTCTCTGCCCTCACTATTTTAAGCAGTCATGGATCTGTACAGACATGACAACATAAATACTTGTATCAACTATATACTCTGAGCTGAATCTTTGTATAGGTGCGTGTTGAACTTCAGTGTTCCTCTACATTCGTGTATAAACTTTTTCTTGTGTTTCGACTCAGCATCAGCAGGGACTCTGGCCCTCGGCTGCTTGATCATTTTCCAGCATTATGCCGTTAAGGGGACAAATAATGCGTAGAGTTTCATATAAGCTGAAAGCTAGAAGCTCAGCCATGTTGGAAAAAAGAACGATAGCACTTAAAGATTGGGCCTGTGGTGTTCTGCAAGAAATCTGTTGGGGCCCACTGATGGTTGCAGTTTTTTTGAAAACTAAAGCTTGTTTCAGGGTTTTATTTGCAATACTCCATCTGTGACATAAAACAATCTTCTACTAAAGTTTTTCCCCCCTTCATTCCATCATCTGAAACCTTTTTGCCACCATTGTTGGGTAGATCTTCAGAGGAAACACTGATCTGCAGTGACCTACAACCAAGACTGTTTTGGCAGCAGGTCTGGGTCCCAGGCCTGAAGTTTCTACAAAAGATAAAGAACACTAATGCATTTTGGACCCCACATTTATCAAGGTTTATTTTTAAGTTGCATCCCTAAGTCCAGGATGTGGCACAGTAACTGCCACTGGTAATGATGTTCATAGGGTTTCTGGTTTTCAAGGTCATAAGAAACTGTTTTAAAGAGAAAAAAAACAAACTATTTTCCACTCCTCATACTTGTGACATTATGTGTTACGTTACTAACAAATGTGAAAATGGGACAACGAGGTCTGGAATTTCAACCTAGAGAAAAACAAAAATGTGATTTTTCTTCTTTTCCTATAGGGAAAAAAACTAAAGAAGAAAACCTTTAGAAACCCTGGACATGTTATCATAGTAGACAGAACTGATCCCTGATCAGTGCTGTGATTCCAAATGCTAATTTTAACCGGCCATCGTTTTTATCAGCTGAAGAGATCCATTTGATGTAAATAAATGTGTTTTTAGATTGTGAAAGCTTTTGTTTTTCTTCTTTTTTCAACTTTAACAATATTATTTAAAGAAATTATAGAAGACGTGTTTCTACATAGAATCGCCACAAGATGGCAGCATTTAGTAGAAAAAGATGGACGCGTTTCCTTCATACTTGCCCACAAGAATATTTCTAAGAAATAACCCTTACCATATACATCTAACTTTATAAAAAAGTAAACATTTATAAATGTAATTGAACTAATATAATACTATTTGTTAAAGAAACTCAGGGAATAAAGCAAAGGTTTATAGCAGCAATAGCTTTAGTAGAAACTTGACATGAAGAAAGATTTTGCAACATCACTAACAACTTAAGCAATCATACAATGACAGGTAGAAGGATGTAATCCCTTCAGCAAACATCTACCACATTTGATACTTTTCTTTTTGGTCCTTGCAAACAGTCCGTGTTTTTTATTTATTTAATTTGATTCCCTTCCAACAACTGAAACCCAGGCTTCTTTCAGTTCCACAGGTTCCGGTTCCAACCGAGTTCTGGATGTAAATAAAGCCTTAGGCGAACGCAGACTTGGCCCATTGCTTGACGTCCGTGGGGCACTGCGGATACTTTTGCAGAGCCTCCATGATCTGACTGTGATTCAGCATTAGCCTCATCAGCTGGTATTCTTTCTGGATTTTGGCTGTGGAGCTGTCGACTGGTCGGATCAGCTCCAGCTGCTGCAGGTGCTCAAAGGCCTGCAATGACAAGAGCAATGCACCAGAGATAGGCTACGTTGTTTTTGGCACATTTTTTCTGGATTCAAAACTAGGGGTTTGCGTGTTCAAACCCAGAATCTACTGTATGACAGGTGATAAACTTTCAACTAGACCCTGAAAGCCTCCTATAGCAAACACTAAAAGAAAGAACAACATTTTGGTGCTCCTTTTGACCAGTTCTTTCTAATACAGACCTTCATGATAACAGGTTGTTCAAAGTTGTACATGGAGTTTGACTTCCTCTGCAGGAACTTCTTAAACTCTGAAAAAGAGGCACATTTATAAAAGGAAGGTCAAACCATCTCATCGATCTCCGTGCTGCTTGTGCCGAGGCATCACACACGTACCGTTGTGCACCATCTGGAGATTGAACGGCTCATCTTCGTACACGTCGTTGAGGTGTTTCATTGCAATAATCAGGCAGAGCTCCAAGATGGACAGGCCTAAAGAGAAGACAATGTCCAACCATTTTTCTTTTTTTACACAGCTGTTTCAACTATATTTTTGTTTCTAATCTTTTACCGTGCAGCATGTTTCCCTTTGCGTCCGCAAACCGCAGCTTGCTGGCCTCCAGGACGTCAGCTGGTTTGAGGACTGGTTTGGACACACTGACTCGACTCAGACACAACATCTGCAAGAAACATGTACATCATCGTGGGTGTTTTTTGTACACCTCCATTTGATCAGGCACATCTTCCCAAAACCTTTTTACAATTTTCTTTGTTCTCACCAGCAGTGCATGCATGGATCGAAAGTCTTTACTGGTATTAAAATGTCTCCTTAAGACCTCCTCCACTGATGCGTCTTTACACAGTGTCTGTAAAAAAGGAACGTAAGGGAGAGTTCTCCACCATCTAAGCCTGTAATGAAGACAGTTCTGTCCTGCTCTTATATAAAGTTTATGCTTATACCGTAATGCTTTTGTTCCATTCTTGGCCAAACTTCTTGTCAGGAAAATTCTCTGGCAGGCTGAGCTGGGTTTGAACCCGTTGAACGTACTGACAGAACGTCAAGGTGCTCAGCAGGTGAATCTGACGATGGGAGAACCTCGACTTCACCCGCTTCTCCAGCAACTCCAAAACATCCTGAAGAGAAATGCACACTTCTAGAGACTTTTGAACATTTTAGACATGTATTTTACTGAGAAAAGATAATAACAGCTCACCAGTCTGCAGGTCAGGCCCACCACAGCTATGGGGGCCTGTGCAGATTGGGCTACATCAAACAGGTTGTAGAGCAAGGTCTGGTTCTTATGGTGGGCGAAGAGGTCAAACTCATCCAGGATGAAGAGCACCGGGCGGCTGCTGCTTCGATCCCCTTCAGAGAAACCCGAAAATTATTTTAGAAATTAAGCTTAAACTAGACTTAAATGGCACAAAAAGGTTTTTTCTTACCTTTCTTCAGAGCCTCAAGAAGAAAAGCCAGGTTTTCTGCAAAGCTACCCTAAAAAAACAAATATATATATAAATGTATATATATATATATATATATACAGTATATTAGAAAAAAACTAATGACAAAATTTCAGAGAAATATTTTTTTTTCTTTTCACTTACAAAAACTTTGTCACCAACAACGTTCTCCAGATGAAGCTGCCGTGTAATTTCTTTAAGTGCAATTCTGTCATCTGTCTGCAGAAGTCCTGCAGTAAAAACATGCTAATTTAGTCTGAGGGAAAATGTATGTATATATATGTATGTACGTGTGTGGGGCCTGCAGAACCTTAAAAAACATTGAATTGATAAAATAAAACCTAAAAAATCTAAAATCTAAATCTACTGCTATATTAGAGAATACTGACCATAAATTAAAACTGCAATATCACAACAATATATTTCATGATAATGAATGAAACTGAGACACCCCAGAACTGGGGTCACTACATATCTGATAAAACAAAATAAAGTGGAATGTAAGACTGTACCATTGAGATGAACCTGCAGCAGACTTTTCTCTGCCTCTTTTTCCTGGAGCAGGTCTCTCAACACACACTTCAGCAGCTGCCATCACAGAAACACAAGCAGACGTGCTATCAGATGCTACAGGAACTCTCCAGGGAATTTAAAAACTATACTTCAACCCAACTCATCATCATCACCATCTCCTCTAAGTCATTTTCCATACATGAATGCTCACCATTGTTTTACCTGCTCCTCTGGGAGCTACTATCAGCACTGAGTTGCTCTCCCCATGGATGACTGTTCGCTTCAGCAGCTCCAACAGGTGTCTAAAAAAACACACTGGTTTTTACTAAAACTATAATGCATTTTTATCAAATATATCTCATTAACTGCACGCTACAAACATTTGAGCCATGCACATTTACAAGAGATCGCCACCCTTTACACGCAGACTAATTAAAATGCTGTTCATGAATGTTATTTATGTTTATACACAATGAAAGACGGGCTTACTTGTGTTGAGCTTCTATTTCCTCTGGCTTGTCAGGGTGCAGATTACAGCAGAGTCGCTCTCTTAAAATGCTCTGAACCTGTAAATAAAGAGATTAAATGCATATTTTAATTATTGGAATATTAGCTTTGGTGTGTTGATGTACGTGGCAGAATAGTATGATTGACACATACTGTACCTCAGTGATGCATTCTCCCACTGGTAGATGAGAATCTTTGACTTTCCTTTTGCTCATTATGTTTTGAGCCTTAACAGTTAGCTACAAAATATTCATAGAGTACACGTGTATGAGCTTTAGGCTGACCAAACATTTACATTTTTCGTAAAACTGGAGCGACACGACACTCGATCTGTGCCGAAATCCATACACACAACGTGCCGTCAAGTCGACATGTAGCTGGTAAATAATCAACAATGCAAAGGCCAAATCATACGAGAAGTTAAAGTTCTTACATTGAAGCGTTTTACCGTATGAAGATTTCAGAACGGACTTGTCCGCAACAACTTCCCCCGAGCGTGAATATGTATAGGGGCATTAACTGCAGGTTTTATGTGGTGACATTACTTAAATGACGTTACGACAGCATCGTGAATTACTCTAAAATTACACATTACGGCACATACCGACAAAAACAGACAGAAGACGAAGAAGTCTGAGCCTTCGCGGGAAAGTCGGTCAACCAGCGATGACGACTTCCGGCTTTGACTACTCTTGGTCTATCATTGGCTAAAACTGGGCCTAAACTAGGAAGTAAAAATAAATGGTAAAAAAAAAGTTTCCTTTAAAAGCGCCTTTAAACATCCAGGTTTTAGACATTTTTGTTTGAATAAGGAGGAATGAATAAGAAAGAAAAGAACAGAAAAGTGTCAGCATATTAAAACGAAATGTTGAGATTTAAAACCGAACCCGCTGTTAACATAGACTTTTGTCTACTATTTTTTACTAATATAGAAATAAATGATATTAACTTGTTGGTTCAGTATATGTTGTAGTTTACTTTAATCCAGACATTCGTGTATGGCAGAACCACTCACTCATATTATTGGTGGAAATTCAACTCTCTATTGGATTGGTAGATGTAAAAGTGCAGGGCAAACTCTTGGAAGTTAAAAAAAAAAAAGAGTTCCCAATCACTGCCTCAAAGGGACATGGGGATAAAAATCTGGGACTCGCCTGAAACATTGCACACAAGACATTTTGCGTTGAGTGAATCTCTTCTTTTTTTTAATGTGTAATCCACTGTCTTTGCATTTTGTGTAAATCCACCTAGTGACATTTTCATACATGGGAATGCAATAGGCTATTTTCAGGTGTGCACGTGAGAGTTTCAAGTGCTCACCTGAAACCTACAGATGAGCACCAGAAAAGTTTATTTATGTATTTATTTTCCCATGTCCCTTAGCCTATCCATACTCTATAAAAACACAATGAAGTACTGTTTTTTGCATATTCATCCTTAAAACCTATGTGAAGCAGCCCTTTCACAGCAGCCATACACTGGATAATTGGTACGTGTCTCATCTTTGACCATTACAAATAATGTAAACACAATGTATTTCATTAACCCTCAGCTATTAGTGTATTATCAGTCTATATATTGAGAAAAATGTGGCATGGTTGTTCTTGTTGTTTTCCCGATTTTAATGTTAATGTTGTTTAATGTTTAATTTAGATTCAAAGTCTGGTTTAAACAAATTGTCCCAAAATGTTATAATACAAAACAGTGATGTTAATACATGGGAATAGACTTGCACTTGAGGCTTACAGTATTTTCATTTAGTAAAGGGGATAAAAAGCACAAAGACCAAAACTAACCGGGTTATAATTGTAAAATTATTACCCTGAAAGATCTAATTAAGTCGTACAATAACCAAGTATAATATCGTTTTGGTCCAGTTTTTTAAATAGTTTGAATAGTTTTACTTTATTATCATAGTTTTACTTTATTATCAATATATATAATGGGTTTTCTTATCATTCGTGTAATTAAATAGTTTGACTCTTACATTATACCTTTTTATATCTATTACTTTTTTCTCATATTTTTTCTTAATACTTTTATCTATACATTTTATATGATATTTATCATTTTAAACCAATATTTAATGCTTCAGTTTGTACTTTTAGCCTTCCTCGTTATTTTTGACCGACTATTTATCTCATAATGTCGACAGTTTATGGTGTAATTTTATTTTATCTCATAATTTCGATTTTATTGTCATATTTTTTACTTTTGTAGTAATGTTGACTATTTTCTCAGCCTAATTACAGTACAGTTCTCGAGATAGATAGATATTTATATTTATGTTCTAATTTCAATTTGTTTTCCTTATAATTATGAGTCAGGTCGTTAATTATAATTTTCAATTTGTGATGGTTTATACGCCTAAATTCTGTGGATTAAAACGTGCATCACCTCTGCTATCTGCAGGCTACTCCTGCTCCAGCTGGGCGCATGCGCACTGCGGCTCTCCATCATTTCTAATATCACTGTGTAGGAGAAGCAGCAGAGGCAAGAGAGAACTAATGGGTAGGCTCTTATTCCTATTTTTCTTAAGCTCAGAAACAGGCTGTTGCTCCATTATTTTATGATTGCAGCACCGATATGCATTCGTTGGGACCACCAGGTAAGAAAATTGAAATTTGTCGTGGATTAAACGCAGACAGGAACGTTGGTGCCTGAAAAGCGTCTCTCTCTCCCCCTCTCTCTCGCTCTCTGTCTCTCTCTGTCCCTCTCTTCTCTCCCTCTCGGTCTCTTTTCGAACGCAACGGGTTTACACGGCTGTAAGTTAGCATGCTAAGCTAAACCGTGCTAACTCGGCCTGGCCATGGCCTTCTCTGCCCCCTTGGCTCCAAAGCCCAACACAGGCCTTTACTGTTTTTTTAATTCGAGAAATTGACACATTAACCTAAACAACGGGTCCCGTAGGGGTTGTGCTTCACTAATACGATGTTACAATTCCCTAGGTGTAGCTTAGCTCGCCCTTTGATTCATTTTTGTTACAACAAGCTAACATGCTAAGTAGCTAACTAACGGGAGCTAAAGACAGCTGTGCAGGAAAGTGCAGGGAAAAGCTCCAGTCACACTGGACTGATTTCGCTTGTTGTCACAGTGAGTTCACGACGAAAAGGCCCCGCAGGCGATAAAGCTAAAACCACATGCACAAACAAACCCTTTCCCATTCAACATGCTTGTTTTTCTAAACATTAATACAGCTAGGTGATAGACAGGGTAATGGACACTTGGCTAATTATATATTATCCTACGTTTTCATCCATGTATACAGTGTTTTAGAGATGCATCATGCAAGAGTTTCCTTTAAAAAACAAATCGTATTATAGTTGTGGGGTGATTCCCAATAACCATTACGGTATATTTGCTTAGTTAGTCACTATGCCTACTGCTCATAGTTTATCCTTTTTAATGTAATTTGTACTTCTGGAGGAAACGTGACAGGCTAAAAATACACAGATACATTTTGAAACTTGTGCTTATTTCATGTTTTTCATAAAGTCTATTACCTTGCTATTAAATGTTTTTGTTGTCATAAGTTCGGTCCAATTGTCTTTAAATAGTTTTGTTCATGTTTGGGTGCTTTAAAACTATCACACTTACTAAACCCATACAGAAAGAGCACAAGGCAAATAATTGTTAACATAATTATTGTTTTTGTAAAAAAATACATGATCCTTTTTTCCCTGGTCTTGGAAAAATGTGCAATAGGTACAAAATTAGTCAAATTAGTCAAACCTCTTTTAAGTAATAAGAGCAGATTATAATAAGAGATAACAAGACCTTGTTTTCTTTTTGCATTTATGTTATATCAACTTACAGCTGAATCTCCTCTAATCTACAAAATACACTGGCATACTGAACAAATGTTAGCACAACATGAAACAATTCTGGTTGCAGAAGAATAGGGGAAGAAATACCAACTCAGTTCACCTGGGCATATTTAGTGGGATAAAAGTGTTTGTGTTGGATAAGTTTGTACTTTTAAACAACTTCCTGTCTGTATGAGTTTTCTCTCTGGTTGTCTGACATAGAATGCATGAGGAAAATATTTGGCTGCAAAACTGATAATACGTATGCTGTTCAGCGGCTGCTTATTTTAAAAAAACGCCCAATTCTGATCGCAGGTCAGTCTGCCGAAATTGGCCGAATCAATAGGATCTAACTAAAACCCTTTGCAGGCTGATGAGGGTGAGCTATATGATGTTAGTTTATGAACAAAAAGAATGTAGATGCTTATTCATTGTCATCACTGCTTCGACAGTGACAGATTTCTTAATAATTAAGTTGGAGTTGACGAGGATTACCTGCTGTTTTGTTGTAGCACAGATTGTGTCATGGTCTGCAGAACCGTTTCTACCTATAGTCCTATTTGAATGTCTGCCTGTGCTGTCAACTGACCCTGACATATTTTAACAGTAGTGCATTGTTACAGTAGTAGTTTGGGTATTTTTCTATGAAATACCCATATAAGAAGTCACAAGAAGAAAATATTGCTACTGGTCAAGCTCGAGCACATAGTGCATATGGAATAAGATTTGTTGCTTTTCTATTCTTTAAGTAGTCATTTCAAGGCCAGGTGAAGAAGAAAACATTATTTTCCCCTTTTGGTTTCAATAGTTTGGTGGTTTTAGTCACAGTCTTTGCCTGAGAAAATACCAATATTCCAAAGAAAAACATAAGCTTTTTAAATTGCCAAAAATCTAAAAAATGTCCATGTATGTTTGTGCAGTCATCCATTGTCATTAATAAATGTCAAAATGTGATAAGAAAAGTTATAAAGAAAAAATATATATTTCTGTTGTATAAGTACTATACAAAATGTTTATTGTTTTCAAACTTGCTGTTTGCCACACCGAGCCAAAGTACACGTGTGCCTCATTGGCACTTACCAGGAGAATAATCTGCAGTGCAGCTTTGCATGCAAATTGCCTTTTTCTTTTTGGCGGATGGTACAAGAACACCTTGTTCATTAATCAAGCTTGGTGTCACGTTGTAAACGTTGTGAAGAAAAAAAAATTGAATCTGATAATAAACACGAATTGCATGACATTTGATCTCATCCCCTTTCACAGTAGTTTATTCAGTTGTCTTAACCTTAAATTTACCACTTTATCTACAGCCCTTTCATTAAAGCTTTCATTTTTATTCTACCTTCACATTCACTGAACTAGAACAGGTGGGTCATGTGGTGGAGGAGTGGCTCAGGGCCAGGTGATATACTGAGTTTTTAGGTTATTCACTATATTTTTATACGTCATACAAAATACTAAAACTAAAATACGTAATACGTTATATAGATCATTACTTGGATGCGGGTTTAAAGCAGCGTGCAAGAGAAATGATCCAGGCCGTGATGGACGCAGAGAACCCACTTGGAGACAGAGAATCTTACCGTGTAGTGTGCCAGATGAGGGGCAGGCACCCTCGTTGTCTGATATGTTCTGTGAGATCCTGTTGATCTCTCTTGTTGACATTTGACAATTAATTATTTTGACAATTTAAAATTTATTATATATTTATATAATAAATCTCTATCGCTCTCAGTTTTTGCTCACCCACACACAGGAGTTTAAGTCCATTAAAAAAAAAAAACCCAAAATGACTTAATGGTTAAGTTCTCTTTTGGCAATTTGGGTTTATAGTGTCAGCTCTTCTAGTGCTGTCCAGCAAGAATATCATACAGACAATTTCTAGCTAGCTGTTTAATATATCTCAGACCTACACTGTTAGGGGAGCTGTAACCTCTAACAACCTTCCATTTAAAACCTAAACCAACTAATTAAAAACTTTTTTGGGTATTTGTTTTCTTTGTGAGTCTCTTCTCATAACCATCTCTTTCCTTTAACCAGTACCTGTAACAATTTATTATTTATTTCATTGCCCTTATTATATTAAACACGATAATTGCATAGCTCTAATATAAGAATTACTTATCTGCAAAACAGCTCAGACTCTTTTTAACTAGTATTACTTTTGTGCTGTAACTAATGTGTTTTAACTTCACTGTGGTGTCAAATAATGCATATAGAACAAATGTATTAAGAAACAAACATTTACATTCATATCTTACAGCTATGTAGAAATTCATGATTCCTGTTGTACGACACAAAAGGAAATTTCTGAGAAGTAGCACAATGTAATGTAGTCCAAAGTGAAATATTTTTTGGAGCTTTGATTCACAATCACAAAAAAGACTAGCACCAAGGCTACGTTCTCTTTGTCATGTTATAGACCAATTTCTTCCACTTTTCAAGCACTTGTTGAAAAGAACATCCCAGCTCTGCCTTTTTTTATTAGCTTATGTGCTATTACTGCTGCTTCACAGTCACTTTGTATAGTTGCATTGCATTGGAACATTGATATGACAAATTAGTTAAAAGTTATCCATATTTTACTCAATTATGAATTTGCTATGTATGATGTCAGATTGTTCTCGGTTCAGTGCATGGATTTGCATTGTAGTAAGAGGCTAACAGCAAGATGATGCTTTTTTCAGATGTAGCGTTACTGGAGCAGTTGCAAGCCATGTTATGCTATGTGAACAGCCTGCAGCTGGCTAAACCTAAAGCACCAATTTCTTTTGGTTGAACTGAAGAGAGAACTTGTGGGTGGAGTTTGAATGTATTTTATGATTAATTGTTTGCACTAAAGATGACTTTACTTTGTGTACATTGAACAAAATCAAATTGTTATGGTTTATGTTTGAGGAATATTTTTCTTACTGTACCACATTCAAGTCTACTATTTGCAAAAAGCAATCTTAAGATAGAAAATAACAGATAGAATAGAAAATGATGGGGACTGGTTAGGAAATGCAATGATAACATAAAAGTGTGGCATTGTGGGACATGAGTTTAACACAAGATGGTGGTTTCCGTGTCTTGTTCTAATAAAGGAGTACCACACACCACTTTAAACTTGAATTCTTTGTCTTTTGCAGCTGCAAATGATGCTAGAAAATAAAGAAACATTTAACTACTGCTTTTATGTTTCGCGGCTGTGTGCCGTGGCAAGAGTAAAAACACTGGTAGAATCACTGGGTTCAGCATCCTCTGCTTACGGAGCACTTATGAGTCAGCAGCATTGGCAGGGCTGACAACTGAGAGGAGGCTTTACATTGAGCTTTGTAGCTCACTAACTGAATTCAGCCTTATTTATCTAGGCTCATCTTTTATTGCAACAACAAAATATCAATAATTTTACAATAATCCTAATATATGTGTATTTAGTCAAAAAAATTCAGACAGTTTTTGGTCTTATAAAAAAGTCAATTTTCTTTACTTTTCTGCCCTTGCAGGTACCATGGGAATATCACTACCAAATGGCCCTTGGCAGTCACAATGATGAACATATCCTACCTGGTACACTGAAGCATATCATTGTAGTGAGTAAAGGGACAAATGGTTAAAATAATAGTTTAATAAAGAGATACACATCATTTCAGCCCATTAGCTCTGAATGCTGGGATGCAGTAATGGAAATGCATATCAATATCAGCACTGTAGTGATGAAGCAGCTCAAAGGGTAGGGTCAGCAGTGGGCTTGCCTCACCCTACCCGACCACCTGCTCATCACCACCCTTTCAGCTCCATCTGAGAGGAGAGCCCAAGTGTGTCAAGCATAGCCGTAGAGCCTTACCCAACTCCTCAGCCCTCCCACCACCACTTTTGCAGACGAACATGATGTACGTGGTAAAAACGCTGGTGGATGTCTGATATATATACCTCTGAGGTGTCGAGTGTAAAACCAGTGGAGCAATGAATGGCGGAAAGGACTGTGAGGCAGGAGATGAGAGGCAGGTCGCCCCTGTACAGGTCCCCATTGGTTGGCAGCGCAAGGTGGAGCATGGAGGAGTGGTGGTTTACATAAGGTAAGAAAAAGCACTCTTTAACTTTGTCCATGAAAATAATTAGTGTACTTTTGCCCCTTTCCATAATATACTAAATGTAGACAGTTTATCCCAATATGAGATTTTAAAAACAGTTTTTAAAAGAGCTTTCCTAATTGGATTGGATATGTTGCAATGTAAACAACAAAAAGACTTAAGTTGTTTTATCTACCTGCAGGTTGTTGACTTGTTTTTTTCTAGATGTGTCTTTATTGATTGGCTCCACAGAATGTTTTTGTGTTTTAATGATTTTTTTTCACATTAAACTGAGTTTTCAATATTCTCCTCAGTGCTTTGGTAAAGCCACAGTTAAAATGTACTTGAATGTAACAGTTTCCAGGTACATTACTTCAGCTTAATGTGTTTGTTGTTTTACTCTTTGGTGTGTCATGTGGACAGGGCATTGCTGTGGTCTTTGGTACATGAACACCACCAGCATGTGTATTTGCAGACCACAATGAACTATAGCACTAAACGCTGCAAGGTTTATTTTTGGATGTTGGAAAGAATCCTTTCTACGTCTGTGACCCTGGCCTGATGCTGTCACTGCGCACTAGGATTTGCTTATTGACCAACTATCCTTATGACTTACTTATGACATTCTTATGACATACTGTTCTTACCTACTATCACTATACCTGTACTTTATAAACTATTATTTATTATTTGTGTTTTTGTATTTTGTATGTTTACTGTAGCTTGATTGTTGATTGACTGAGTTAAATTTTAGGTCACCTTGGATAAAAGCATCTGCTGAATATGTTGTGATGTAATGCTTATTTTTGTTGTATTTAAATGATGACTCTCTCCAGGGCCCTGGAACTACAGATGCTCAGAAAATATATTTTCTTAGCTGTTGTAAAATGATCACTGTTTTAGTAAATTTACACACTTGGGAATGAAAAGAAATTTGTACTCATAGGTTAATGTTATGTCCAATTTACAGTCCCAGTGGATCTGTGCTGTCCAGCTTGGAGCAGGTAAAGACCTACCTGCTCACAGATGGAACCTGCAAATGTGGCCTGGAGTGTCCACTCATCCTCCACAAGGTAATTTTAATGTTGGTTGATTCGATAACTGCAGTAAGATAATTTATGCGTGGTTTGAAGGGTTTTATTTATCAATGGTCCTAGGTTTGTGAAGGCATCTATGCAGGTATAATCTACAATGTAGGATGCAAGTGGAAAGCAATAGTTTTAACATTGTATCTGCCAAACATGACAAATTCTTGTGATAAGACAAATTATATATTTTACATTTTTGTAGGGGTGAGAATAATACAGTGTCACTTAAGTAAAATATTGTGGAGAAAATCAGTGTTGTTCCAGTTGGATAATTATGATCAGTAGAGTTTGCCTTATCTAAACATTGTGCAGCCTGTGAATTTTATGTCTTTACTCAAAATTATTAATACATGGAAAAGGTCCCACAACCACCTTTAGTGCTGTACTCTGTTGTGGGTCACTGTGCTGTATATGCTGACTACATTATATTTATCTTTTTACCCAGGTGTTCAACTTCGACCCAGGGGCTGCTGTCAAGCAGAGGACAGCTGAAGATGTGAAGGCAGATGAAGATGTCACCAAACTTTGCATTCACAAAAGGAAACTTCTGGCTGTGGCCACTTTGCACAAGAGCATGGAGACACACCCACCTCTGTCACTGACAAGTCCAGTTGGAGGTGCAAATACAACACTCAAGCATAGTTTTAACAATATAAGGCATAAATAAACCCTGAAATAAGCCACTATAAATAGTAACACATCAGTTAGTGACTGATTTATATTGTAATTGACTGGTATTATATATTATAACCAATGTGATAATGTTTGTACAATAAATATAATGTCTTTGTTTGGTCCGAAGGTACATCATCTGTGGTTACTGCGCATTCCACAACTCAAAGAGCAATAAGGAATAAAATCCATGACGGCCCTCCTAACACTGTCAGACCTGACTGCAAGAGTCCATTTAAGATGATGATGGCAGCTGGACAACAGCAACAGAGGATGTTTTCTCCCCAGGAGATGGGTGCAGGCCAGACCGACCTCTATTCTGGGTATCCAAGAACTCAGAGGCTGGGCAGTGGAGATCCAGGCCCAAAATCCCCTTACCGTGCTGGCTATGGAGGCATGTTGAGCCCACATCGCTCTGGCTCCAAGCTGTATGGAGATGGCTCACAGTCTCCAAGTGCAGACACTTTGGGCAGCCCTGAGAGCTTTTCAAGGACTAATCCTTGTGGTTTTCCAGGAGTCAGCAGTCCCGGCTCTGTGTCTGTTCTTGGAAATACTAGGACACCTCTTTCCCCACCAAGTCTGATGCTCCATGGCTCTCCTGCAGGCCAAGCATCTTGTGCCATGACAGGAAGGACTAGCACGCCCCTTTCCCCAACGGCCACTGCCAAAAGCCCTGTCATGAACATGAACATACCAAGGGGAAACTTTCCCCCTGGTATGGATATGGTCCGTGCAACATTTCACCATAAAACACAGCCTCCTGTCCATCCTGTGCCACCACCTCCATCCATACAACCACCCTGTGCCCTTCAGAAAAGGCAGTTGACCTCTGAAAAAGACCCACTAGGCATCTTGGACCCTATACCAAGCAAACTTGTCAGCCAGCCTCCCACCAACCCCCATAACACATCCAACTTCCAGCCTAACATCCACTCTCAGGTACAAATGATGAATGTAAACATACCCCCTCCAGCCATTGTACCCTTGCCAAGCAACTTACCTTTACCTACAGTCAAGCCTGGACCTGTTGGGCATGGTGGCCATGTTCAAAGGACTCAACCAGGAGGCCCTGCTTCCTCTATGTCACCCTCCCCTGTCACCTCCCCCGTTCACATGTCTGGGCCTGCCTTAGCAAGAATGGAGGCTTCCCCTCATCGCTCCCGATCTTCCTCTACATCCTCTGATCATGGTAATTTTGCAATGCCTTCTGGGCACCAGGCTCCATGTGGGACCATGAAGGTCCCTCCTCGTTCCCCCAGGTCAGCTATGGGATCTCCCAGACCAGCCATGCCCTCCAGCCCATCCACTAATAAAACGGACACCCTTCATCAGTACAAAGATGCCCAGTTGTTGCCTGGCATGGGAAACTCCATTGGCACCCAGCAGCATGGTAACCCTATGTATTCACCCACCCCATCATCTTCCTCATCGTCTTCATTGGCAACACCTAGTGCTTCCCAGAAGGGCCATCCTGGACTCCTGGGAATGCCCCTTAACCAGATTCTCAACCAACAAAATGCTGCTTCCTTCCCAGCCAGCAGTCTCTTGTCAGCTGCAGCCAAAGCACAGCTAGCAAATCAAAATAAATACAGCACTTCTGGCAACAGCTCTGCTGGGATGACTGGATGTGGGGTTAGTATGGGAGGAGTGGGTGTCAACAGTGGAGGTAATACAGGGAGTGGCGGGCATTCAGGCTCTATGAGTGCTCCTCGTGGCATGGAGGGACACGGCACTTTAAATCCCATGCTTCCTCCAAACTCCAACATGCTGCTTAACACTCCTGAAGGCCAGAGTGGTCGGGCAGCTCTAAGAGACAAGCTCATGGCCCAGCAAAGGGACCCCATGCGCAAAAGGAAGCATTCATCAGGTGGTGCTGCTGTTAACCATGACAGTAGTAACATGGTTTACAATATGATAAATAAAACAGGCATGGGTGGGTCGCATATGCCAGGACCCAGTGCCACTGAGCAGTTAAGAAAGGTGGGTAGACTTGGAAATCTTCCCCCAAACACCTCAATGGCTCAGCTTCTTCAGTCAATGAGCTCTCACAACTTTTCTGGAAACAACCATCGTCCAGGTCTCGCCCCTGGCCCTGGACAAAGTCTTCAAGGAGCTGCCCAATTACACTACAACGACAGCACGGGAATTATCCCGGGTGCCTCTCAGCAAAACTTCCATACCCCTCGTAGGCTTCAGGGCCCAGGTGATGCCATGCAACACTGTCAGAACATGGACAACTCTGGAGCCCATCTGGTCTCACGTCAAGGACCGTTCCCTGACACAATGGCTCAAATGCAGGCCTCTTCCATGAGTAACTGTGGACCAATGGGGCCAAGTGGTGGACCAGTTGGTCCTGATGGCCTGCCACTGGGACACCTCAACACTAACCCTCCTCCTCTTTCACATCCTGGCCCTCACCTCTCACAACAACATCTTCATCACAATATGGTGCGGCCTAACATGACGATGCCACAGGGAAGTGATGATGGAGGCTGTCCACAGACCATGTCTGACACAGGTAAGACATTGTCATCCCAGTATATCTGGTCTTTCGAATGTCTACATTTATGGCTTCTGCATTTTAGTTCCTGACCAAAATGACAGCTTAAATTATACTGTTTTGTAGACATAAGAAATGCAAGTGGAAAAAATCTCTAAACCATTTATTTTACATGTAACATTTTTTGTTGAAGACAAGGTTGTTGGTGGGAAGGTTTTTAAATCTTTTGAATTGCACAGCCCAACAGAACATCACAATCGTAATTGACTGTCTACTCAGAGGTATAGCTAGTTTTCAAAACTAAATGCATAGCTTTATCTTTTTACCGATATGAGCTCATACTGCATGATTTAGGTGACTGGCCCTGAAAAAAATGAGTCCCTTATATTTGTCCTACAATGGGAAAATTTGCAGTGTGAGTCTTTGCAACCGATACAGGCTGCCTTAGGAGGTGCCATTAAGTACTTGATTGCAGCTCACAGGCAGCCAAATGGGAGGCAGGATATGTGGTTCTTCTGGGAATCAAACCCAGGACTCTTTGCTTGCAAGGCAGGCATGATAACCACTACACATTGGAACCACTAAAGCCTTTGCAATGGTTGGGAAAAGAGGCCACCAAATTATTTTTGAGTTATTTAGCTATCCCTTGATCTTCAAAACTGAATTGCCAGCCAACATGTATTTTGTGCTATCTGTATGGCTGCCTAAGTCAGTGTTGTAAAGATGGAAATGATATCCTCATCACACTTTAGTGGAAACAGCCCAGATTGGAGTTCTTTAAAGCTTGTCCTGGCTAGTCGGTCGCTATAGTAACAATGGCCCCCTGAATAAAGACTAGAGATGAGCCTTTAATGAGTGTTTAATACTGTCTTTGAATGAATGTGTGATCATGTGTCAACATCTGTACAACAGCTTTTCCTCCTCTTTATTTATTTGTGTCTTTGTGAATGTCTTTGTTATTCTTTTTTCTGATTCTCATTAGTTTTATTTAACAGGTACTTTCTTCAGTAGTTAATCTTTCAGGGTTTACCAGAGTCTGATACACACCATTTCTTCACTACAACCATGTACTTTATTATTTTGCCTTCTGTTTCTGTTCTGTTTAAAGAAGTTGTAAGTTAGCTATCCTGGGGTTAATGTTATTAACTGTGGGCTAGAAATATTTAGTAATTGTTGTTTTATATTTAATTCTTACTCTTGTAGCAAGTTGATTGAGTTGTATGATTTGAGGTTTATTTGTCATTGTGCTTTCCCGCTGGGGGAAAAGCATGAAAATGACAAGGGAGATAAGGCTACCTTTTTTTAGTACTTCTTATATAAGCATCTTGCTTTACAAAATGTATAACATTAGCATTGTGTAGCTAAAAAAAATTAGAATTGAATTATATAATTTTTTGTTTACTTTTATTTCAATAGTTTAGCTCTTAATCTTTTTGTTTCATCTACAGAATTATGTTAAGTACCATTGTTTGGGATATAATATAAATACATGCACCATAAGCAATTACGTATAGAACAATGTAACACTACCATACATGCATGTGATTTTTTTATATATATTATTTTTTGAGAATAAGATAATAGGAGATGACAGACCTTCCCTTGTTGAAATTTCTGAGGTTTTCTCAGAACTTGTTCCATTCAGGTTTTGGTGAGTCCCAGCTTACTTGGATCTAGTTTAATTCACTAGTAAAAACTTAACAGACAACAACATCTCATTATGTTGTCCTAGGACATGCAATATTCAATTGAATGACAAAATTGCAAGACTTTTTCTCTACAGTGCCTTTGGTTGGTATTAATTAAGTAAAATATCATCTTTTTATGCTTAATGGGAGAAGCAAAGAGGAATGACTGAGTTCTGAGCTCAGTTTTTGCTGTTTAAGATCCAAAACCTTTTAAGCACTTAAAAGCTCTGTGTATAAAAGGGTATTTTGCTTTCGAATGGTTGCCATTATTCTGCTAAGAGACTGTAAGCTTGGGGATCTTAGGAACACTGAAAGCTTTGAATGTGACCTAGTCAATGGCTTCTTAGCATTAGCCTTTAACCATCTGCGTCTGGACAGCTAGCAGTCTTTGAACACCCCCTCCACTATGGCCATCAACAAATACTCCGAAGTTCATTGTACCCTCTCCTTCCCCCTCCTGCCCCCAGACACCCAGCCACCCAGCCGACTGCCCCCCATCCCCCAGCAGACTAAAATCACACCCTAAACCCACTCGGCTCCCCAACAAGCTTCCTGGCAGTGGACAGAGCCACCAATCATCACATGGTTTCCACGGCAACATCCCTTGGCAACAGCCGTCACTATATCATAGTAGTGGTGGAGGATGTGGGGTGGTAGATAGGGGGAGGGGTTGGTCGAGTCGCGGCTCTCAACGCAGAGGAGAGAGGGTAAAAAGACAAGAGAAGGAAAAAAAATGGAAAACACACACAGCTGCCCTTCAGCTAGGCACTATCACACCAGCTGCTCCACTGACTGCTTATTCACACACAGGCACACACAACACAGCCTGAGATTTTGTATTTGTTTCATTTTTGTTACTGCAACATTGCTGTGTCATTCACTGATTTTTGTTTAGTATTCATATATTTCAGTAATAGAGCTATTATACAGGTCTGTGCTGTCTATCTAGCTCTTGTTAAAAAACAGACAACGTTTACATCATGGTTTGCTCTGCTGTTTATTTTTAAGTCAGTACAAGAAATGTATATAAAATTATGACAGTTGTTCAATAGCCAATATATAATTGAATATCAGGAATGGGGAGAAAATACAACTGCACCAGATTAAAGAAAAATCTGTGTATGTTTAACAAGCCCAGGCAGAAGAAGGCAGTTTAAAGATAAATTGCATATGAGTTGTGGTAAAAAGATTTACATTACATGGGATGTCACATTACATCCAATGTAATGTGACAGATTTAAGTCAAACAATTCTTGTGAAATGTCTAATATGCCTTTTTCATTTCTTACATATAAATAGTACTAATACTACAACCATTTCCTATTGAATTTGCAGGGAACCCATCATCCCTTGGCTGTGGTGTGGGAGGGCTTCAACCTCATGTCAGCACTGGGGGAGGTCCCATGTACCAGCAGCAGGTTCATCCAGGCATGCAGCTGCAGCAGGGGGTGGTGTCTCATCCACCCTACCAAGGCCAACAGCACTGTTCTGACAACCCACCCTACACAGACAACAACAACATGGCTAACACTGGCTCCATTGCTTGTATCTACCAGAATTACCAGGTGGGTTGATGAGTGCCTGTAGCATTATTTTGACTTTCATATAAATGTTATTTCATCTTACAACCTTACTGTTGTGTTCACAGCAAGGAATGTTGCCAAACCCACAATTTTGCGAGGGGCAGCAACTCCAGGAGGTGGGTCTTCAAACAGGTACGCCTGGATCAGAAAGGGGCCCTGGTGCAGGCCCAGAGTCGGTGGATGCCATTTACAGAGCTGTGGTAGATGCAGCCAGCAAAGGCATGCATGTGACCATAACAACAACAGTTAGTGGGACAACACAGGCAAGTCCAGTTCCTGCCCTTAGTGCCATGAGTGCCTTTACCGCCTCAATAGGGGAGCCTATCACCCTTCCTCAAGCTGTTAGCACAGTTCTGCATGGCCACCAAGAGGGAGAGTCGCTGTCCCAGCATACCAAGCAGAGACAAGTGAGGCCATGTCGGGGACAGAAGAACATGGATACAGGCAAGAGCACCCCAGATGGCCCAGAGTCCAACGACTATTTTCGTTCTCCTGGCCGTAGGACACCCAGAGGCCAGTGGGATGGTGAGACACAGCATAGGGTAGGCTATGATTCCCACAGCAACAACATCGCTTGGGGAGGTGAGGAGTTTCTAGAGTGTTCTACACAAGTTAGAAGTAGTCCCTGCAGGGATCGACCTGTCAGCTTGGCTCCTGCCCCACTCTGCCCATCAGATGGGACCAACGATCATGGTCTTCACACAGCTCATGATAAGGTCTTTCTTGAAGATGGATATCGTTTTAACAACTGCAGCCGGGCTCCTGCTAACTACAAGGAGCGTCTTGAGCAGACAGTGGAGCGCTGTGCTCACATGAATGGCGGCACACCCCACTTTAACACTCGAGGTTATGGAGAAGTCTTAGGGCCAACACGGCAGGAACTAACTGGTGATGACCAGTCGCCCAGCTCCTCCACCAGCCTGGAGGGACCCTTGGCCACAGCCAAAGACTATAGCCACTACAATGGCCACTTCAATGGTATGGCCCCCAGCCCCTCAGACACAAAAAGCTTGAGCAGTGAAGAGGACTTGCGGCAACCGGACTCTCCTTCTTCAGAACTTCTCCATTACCGTTCCAGGACCTTCAATATGGGGGAGTTAGTATGGGGTCAGATAAAGGGCTTCCCACCTTGGCCTGCCAAGCTGGCTGGGGACGAACAAGTGCACAACGCTGGTATACAGCTGCGGGAGCAGGCAAAGGTGAGACAGCATCTGCAAGTTTGTTTGTCATCACCCTTGTTAAATATAAACCTTGTATCCTTTTTTTTTTCTGTTTGTAGTCAGCTAGATTTGTAGACATGACCAATTGATAAATTACATTGACATGGTAACAACAAGTACCATAATCATGTTGAGGTTGACAGTCAGTGATTAAGAGTTTTAAATAAATGTCTCCTGTGGTTATCATCCAGGTGGAGCCAGAGAAACTTAAGACACTAACTCACGACTTTGAGGCACTTGACAGAGCAGCCAAAAGAGGCCTGAAGTGAGTGTTGTGGGACACTGCACGAAAACATAACACATACATACATCACCTTATTGTTAATTGTTAGTTGTTGCAACTGCTTTAAAGTTTATTTATTTGAATATTTATACCAACAGGCCAGGGAAACTGAATAATCACTTGGAAGCTGCTATCCACGAGGCCATGAGTGAGCTGGACAAGATGTCAGGCGCAGTGAGTAGTTAAACCCTTCCACAAACTTCCAAAGAGATTTTTTCTTTTGGTGGTTTAATGCATGTGGACTAATACCTGTCTCCTTTTAAATATGTGATGATAGTGAAGACCCCTTAGCTAAATTGGCAAAAATATAAGGAAGCTTTACCTATAAAGCTTCCATAATTTGTTTCCTCAATTGGTAAACTGACCTTGAGTAAAAGCAACACAGTGGTTAAGCTACCTCTAACCCAAACAGGAAAAAAAAGTTCAGTGGGAACATTATTCTTAATGGCTTTGTAAATTGTCAAGTACATTTTAATTGAAAGCCCAAAGCCAGTTCGATGTTTTAGTAGTAGTTGTATCCATCCTTTGCTTAGATGTTCTCTTTGTCTGCCGTCAGATCCCATCCAGGGATCGTCAGGTGAAGCTCCCGAAGCCTAAGAGGAGGAAAATATCCAGATAACATTGAATGTGTCGGCCAGAAAAACGCCCTTGAAGCCTTCAGAGACTTTGTCCTTCAGCCTTGATTGCGATCTGAGCTCTTCTACAGGTGCTACACATGGACTTTTCAGTGGTACATCGTTGTTCCATGACTGACAGACCACATGAGGTGCTGGAAAATTCCAATCACCGTCAACAGTTTTACGTGCAGAAAGACAAAACAAATCCAGAAAAACAAAAAAAATCAAAAACAGTTGCAATTTGTCTACTGCTCACTGAATTACCTATTTTTTTCTAGTATAACATAGTAAAATAAACAAAAAAACTACAAGCATTACCTTACATATTTAAGAAAAATAGACAGTCCAAATATTTCTGATACATTTTGAATATGTACATAGATGATCCTGAAATTTCATGCTATTAAGAAGTGTATGTAAATATTGTAAAATGTCATGTACAAGCGTACCTAATGCACACTTTATCTTTTATTGTACAAAAACAAAGCAGAAGTGGGTAAACCAATGTCTTGGTTTCTATTCAAAAATGCGGTTGCATACGACCGCACGCATAGGATAAATAAGAATACAGCCTAAAGCTTTTATATGATAAACCTTAAGACGTTTTATTTTTCATTTTATTTTATTTTTTTTCATATAAGGGAACAGCAGTTGAAACAGGCAAAGGTTCTTGAGTCCTCCATCATGGTAGTCACTTAACTCTGCTTGTGTTTGTTTTCATGGATAAGATATACCACAGAATGAACTTTACCAGCAGTGAGTGTTCATTGTCCCCCTCTCCCTCGACACATGGTGGTGAATGACCAGGTGTTGGTCAAATTGTCACCGTAACAGCAGGAAAAAAACTTAACTCATGTAGAACTGTTTTTTTTTTTTCCCTCTCTCTCTCTCCCCTGAATGGTGGGTATTTGTTATGATGGGGGGATCCACCCTTAGAAACCATTCAATGTATTGTCATACAGTTTGCTGTAAATGTTGTGGTAACTGCATCTTTGTAAGCAATTGCAAAGATACAAAGTTGATGACTTATCTCCACAGCTTTGAACCAGGTCTACTGCTCCAGCATGGACACTTAAGCTGCACTTGTATCGGAGGATTCAGAGGATGTGAATTTGGATGTAAATTCATCTTCAACAGACACCCCAATTATCAAATCCGGTAAGAAACTAATGTCAGGACTCATGAAGTTCATTTGTTCTAACAACACTCGTGCAGCTTGATAACTGGCGTCATAATTATTTGTAATTAGTATGATTAGTGACATAATGCTGTTGATGCCATATGTAGAGAAATTGCACAACAAACAAGGCCCCATTAGAGTCTCACACATTACTATTTTAGCACATAAACAATAAATATTTAGCACTAACTCTGCCTAGCTTAAAATAGTGATGCCTCATTAATCCTCCCAGTTGAGCCAAGAACTAAAGTTTACAATTTGCTTTAATGGTTGCCTGGTGTGATTAATGTTCACATTTCATTAACCTAGGCTTTTAAAAACTAACTTAAAGATTTTTAGGAACGGTCTTTTTAGAAACTGACTAGAAAGTTAGGTCTAGTTGATGAACTTTGAAATCATAACACAACTCAACTACCACTTTGTGCCAAATTTATATTGATTCAAGTAGTCCCCACAGACGCTTTATCATCCATCATCCTATGAACATAATTGGGTTTTTGCAGTACAACTTCAAAAACAAACACAGCTGGGAGTAAAGTCAGACTAACTCATGTCAAAGTAAAACTCATGTCATTGAATTCTATCAAGATCTCCACTGTTGTCTCTGGGTGGATTTTTTTTTTCTTATTATTCCTCTTTTCTAAAACCAAGAATCACAGGCAGAATTAATGCTGCGTTTCACTGTTGTGGTTAAGTTCTCAGTCTCATTTATAATGAGTGGTTTTGTTTTTATTTCCATGACTGTATTCATTTCTGACACAAACTGTATAGCTTTAGGTAGAATAACCAACCTCAAAGTTTTTAGATTTTCAAAAAAAGACACTAACTCACATTTCAAAAAGAGATGACTTTTTTTTTTTACTTTTAGGGGCCTTTTGTGTATGTTTCCTATTGTTGTTTTTTGGTTGTTGTTTGTAAATTATTTATGTACAGTATTCCATATTTATTTTAAGCTTTACAAATATGCTAGATGGCAATAATACTACCAAGAGTTGAGAACTCAAGCCTTATATGTGTGTGTTTGTTTTGGCAGCAAGTGAGATGTTCACGTGTTGGTCACACAGGTCATTTCCTCTTATATTTAAGATTTTACCCTTAAAACACATTATTCTCTCACCGGTTGTGTCCTGGGTTAAAGAAAAGTACATATTTGTAAAATGTTTCAATGCAGTTAAAACACTACAAAAGTTAGGTGTTTGGGGGAGAACTTGCATAGTCAGCTGATGAGAACCTGATCCATAGTGATGTTTTTCCAACAGTCTCGAGTCACTATGATTGATTTTTCAAGTGCAATATATACGATCAATCATGTTGAAACTACTGTTTCATCAGTGTTTTATATAATAACGTCCTGTGCACACTTTGAAAAAAGTTGACAACTTTTATTTTGCCCGTCTTCCAAATTCAGAAAAAAAAACCACATTTGTTTACAATTTTATTTTATCTCAACCAAGAAATTCCTCCTTTCCTCAATAAGTCAAACACTAAACCATGACAAAATATATTTCTAGCTGTTTATACATGTGCAGGTTATCAAGTTTTACCATAAATATTTCCATTTAAAATTCTTATAGCTGCACAAAACTGCAAAAAGATCCTAATATTGGCTGAGTGAACAGATGTGTTCATGTGTTGTCACTTTAAAAAAAAAACTGTACTGTATTATTCTGGTAAATGCGATTTCAACATGTAACTGAATTTTCTTTGTGTGGCGTGCACACTGGAAGATTAGACATTAGATAAGAAATTTTGGTCATTTTATGGTGCAAATAACGGCATGTTTTTTTAAGTCTTTAAGTCCATATAATTCATATATGATGAACATAGAACTAATCAGAATTCTATGTTTCAAATTTGAAATGTCTTTGTTTCCAGACTGCACGTTTGTCAGAATCTTTGGTAAAGTTCATTCTGCCCTTACATCCCCAACTTGTCCATTTTGTTCAGTGAAATGACAAGCAGGAACCCACTCTCCTTTTCCGTAAACCATGTGTCACTGTTCTAAAAGATGTCAAGTTATTTATGGTCAAGAAGTTTCAGAGCATTCAGATTTTTCAATCGTTTGAAAACTCATTGCGTCAGTTTTTCCCTCATTGCTATAACTGTGTGCGTGTGTGATTTCTGTAGTTTTCCTGCTAGTGAACTTCATTTTGAAAATCCACTCTTCAACAAGTTACTCGTCAGTATTTTGTTCTCGTTTCCAACTTGTATTGAATAAGTATATATTTTGTCACTAATATATACTTTACAAAAATAGACTTGTGTGAAGTATGATGTGCACTTGACTGGTCTTTGTTTTCATCAGTGTGGGGTAGGGATAGTTGTTTTTTTTTTTTTCAGAGTCCATTATTTTGAGATTGTTTGGACATTTTTATTTTAAAGAAAATGGTTTGATGTAAGCAGCATTTTTTGTAAATATTGTGAAACATTACAGGTCATGCAGTGATGTAACATTTGGAACAATGTTGCACAGATGTTTAAGATATTAAAAAAAAACATGTTCACTCTTAAACCACTTCTTGAACCATTTGCTGTACCATGACTGTTTTTAACACGCATTTGTCCACAGTTTATCCAAAATGAAACAAAAGTGCAGAACAATTATTCTGTGAAATGCTACCCTCTAGTGATCAAACTAAAAATGACACTACCAAACGCTGTGGCAGGACAACGATTTGTTGATTGCATGATACGACAGATTATTAAAACAGGGAAGAAACATAGTAATCGCGGTTTCCCGTTGCTCCTGGTTGGGGAGGGGGACTAATCTGAACGTAAGTGTATGAAAACTGAGGGAAATACGGAGGATCTGAATAATGTAATACTTTAAACCATGTAATTGTTTGAACTTTCAGGGACAGAAGAAACAGTGCATTTGGGACAGTATCCTGCATTATACGGACTTTTTAAGAACACAGAATTATCCAGTTGTAATACTTTACTAAGTAACGACAAAATATCCAGTCCTTACAAGTTTGAGGGGTGACTTAAATTCCAACATGATATTATATAATTTTGAAAGGCTGAGCTATGCTAAACTTATTCTACCCACTCACGCTGTAAAATGAAAAGGCGGACATACGTCAGAAGACACAGCTGCTGCCGATGAACACTGCGCCATAAACTTACTGTGACCCAAATGTGATGATTTTCAGATTTAAAAAAAAATGGTTTGTTGACAGTTTTCACTTTAGTAACTCAAAATTTCAAGAACACAAAAAAACAGCCGCCGGGCCTGACTCACCCCCCAAACCATCTTTTCACGGCCCTGGACGTCGGTAGCGAAAACAGCTCTTAGTGAGTGAGATCATAACTACTAAAGGACAAATTTTATATTTGCGCGTTCATGGCATAGCGATGCTGGTGCTGATGCGGGGGCGCGCCACTCCTTGTGAACGCGCGTTTTTATTGCGGGAGTCAGGAGGCGGATGCTGCGTCTGTCACTGCGCATCCTCTCCGGGCTCAGGGACGCAGATTGAGCAGAAGCAGCCGCAGCCTCTAACGCAAACAAACACAAACCATCGCCGTCGTCATCGTCATCGTCACTGCAGATACACTGGTTCTGGCTCCGTTCAGGCCGCAGCGCTGCGGCTGATCCAGTTTGGTCATGAAGGAACACGTTCGGTTCGGATAAAGGACGCGTCGCAGAGTTAAAAACTTTCCCACGGTGAGGAATTTATTTATTTGAAGCAGTTCGCAGCCGAATGACAGTTTTTGGTTCTGGTTTTGTTCAGATCTGAACCGTTCACTGCTCCAGAGGGACGCGAGGATAAACAGCAAGGCCTCACTGGTGTTTGTGGCACCACACAGAGACTGAGCCTCACCTGCAGGCTTTTGGATCGGGGTGTTGGTGTGAACAGCAGCAGCAGCGGCGGCGGCTGCAGCAGCGGCATCATGGTGGACGCAGCAGAGTGCGGGGTGAAGGTGATGTGTCGCTTCAGGCCCCTGAACGAGGCCGAGATCACCAGAGGAGACAAGTACATCCCCAAATTCAAGGAGGAGGACACCGTGGTGATAACGGCAAGTCTGACCGCAAAACCATGCCGTATGTGGATGTAGGCTAGATTAAACTGTATTGATCCCACACTGGGGATATTTGAGGGGGAAAAGGAGTTTGCATTGGCCGGGAATCGAACCCGGGCCTCCCGCGTGGCAGGCGAGAATTCTACCACTGAACCACCAATGCTTGGTATGGGGAGGAAATTTCTTAAATCCGAACAGAATTAGGTCCTTCCTTAGGGTTGTTAGTTCAGGTGTGTATACACGGCAGTGTTGTTTTATATATTTATATATAGCATATGTAGATATATATACATACATATCAAATTATACACATATATTTATGTGTATATATGTATATATATAAATTTATCTTTGCACAAGCAAATATTTGTTATTCATGACTTAGTGGAACATTAGTAAGAACCCCATGTTATGTATGTACCAGTACTGCTGCAGAAAGGCATTTATCCAGGAGCTCTCAGAACTGTGTCAGTGGTTTGTGTCAAAGACTGTGATGGAGCTGCTGCTGATGTTGCCTTCAAGCGCTGAAAGCTGCATTTTATAGCAACCAGGCTTTTAGCCCCTCTGAGAACAGAAGTCATGGCTTTGACAAAGGGCAGCAGTGATGGATGGTCAGACGTAAAGTTCCTGCAGCCGATTAGAGACATGTCCACCATGTTTGTTTTAAATTCATCTCTGTGTTGTCACACTTTTTTGACTGCTCTGTGTTGTTTCTTGGTATGTTACAGGGAAAACCTTACGTCTTTGACCGTGTGCTGCCTCCAAACACCTCGCAAGAGCAGGTGTACGACCAGTGTGCCAAACAGATAGTTAAAGGTACAGTCCGCAAAAAAAAAACATTGGTCAGTGAATTATAAACAAGGGAGTCACCAAATGCAGCCCAGTAATTTGAAGACCTATTGGTTGTAATTAATTCTTTATATATATATGTATATATGTATATATGTATATATGGTTATATATGTGTATATATACATATATATATGTATATATATATATATACCCTTTTTTACTTTTTTCTTTTTATGAGAAACCTCAAACCAGATTGTCATTAATTAATTATAGTTGTAGCTTCTCCTAAGTAATAAGTATTGCATGGTCATTGCAATATTTTGCAGTACTTTTTAAATATTAAAAGCAGTACATGTTTTATTTTAATTATCATGGATATTTACTGAATTTCCCAGGATATTATTTTATTATGTTTTTCTCTATTTTGCTGGATATCAGATGTGCTCGCTGGCTATAATGGGACTATTTTTGCCTACGGACAGACATCATCTGGGAAAACACACACTATGGAGGTGAGTTCATCAACAGAGTTCATCCTCTGAAAGACCCCCCAACAGTCAGTTGTTGCAGGTTTCTGATTCCTGATGATTAAATTTATTCCAATCTGTTGTGCAGTTATTTGCAGTGACAGCATGTGATGACACACTTTCTCCTCAGAGGATTAGAACACAGCACATTTTGTGTAACAGTGTTTAATCCCACGTTGGATCTGGCTAGGTTAAATGTAGTTAAAATGTTGTGTATAAATATTTTAACATCCTCCAGGGCAAACTGCATGACCCCCAGCTGATGGGCATCATCCCTCGCATTTCCCACGACATCTTTGACCACATCTACTCCATGGACGAGAACCTTGAGTTTCACATCAAGGTAAAAAACATATATATATATATATATATATATATATACACACACATATATATATATATATATATATACACACATATATATATATATACATATATATATATTTCTGATGTCCGTCTAAGAAAACGAGAGAAATAAAATTTAAATGAAAGAAATTCACACATGCTAACCTTTGTATTTGATATTACTGTTTATCAAAATTCCTTAAATTATACCATAGTTGAAACAAACATAAATAACCTTTGAGTTTTCATATGTTTTTTTTTTTACTAATTGTATTTTTTTTTCTTCATAATTTCTGACAGGTCTCTTATTTTGAAATCTACTTGGACAAGATCAGAGACCTGTTGGATGGTACATGTGCCAACATTAAACATGATACATTTTCTGGATATTTAAAAAAAATTCAAAGTATATTAAATCTCATTTGACTTGTTTCTGTTTGTTTTTTCTCACTCAAGTGTCAAAAACAAACCTTTCTGTCCATGAAGATAAGAACAGAGTTCCGTACGTCAAGGTGAGTACAACCAGTGAGTTATCCAGAGTCTTGGCCTTTGCCCTTGTTTCTTCTATTTCCAGTATTTTCCTCTTCCTCCTTTTGCAGGGTTGTACTGAAAGGTTTGTGTCCAGTCCAGAGGAGGTGATGGACGTCATCGATGAGGGCAAAGCCAATCGTCATGTGGCTGTAACTAGTACGTGTTGCCTGTCTGGGGCTCTTAAAAATAATCTCTGAGAAGCCATGGATAAGATGTGCATTATAATCTGAGATTTGGCAGATGTTGCTCTAATACTGAGTCTGAAAATCCAGTCAGTGTTAGACCAAAGACCATTCCTAAATTGGTTCAAATCTTCCTTTGCTTTGTCTATAACAGTTGTTTCTTAAAACAATACAGCCTTAGAGTTTTAAAGTCGTGCACATAAAGCTACATGAAGTTACGTACAAAAGGTTCTCCTTACTCCTATTCAAAGATGCTGAAAGGTATTAATATTTTAGCTTCAGCTTTGTGCAAATATAAATGTAATTTTCTGTATGAGTTTAGAAATACCTGGCCTATAAGTCGCTCCACAGTATAAGTCGCACCAGCCAAAAAATGCATAATGAACAAGTAAAAAAAAAACATATATATGTCACATCAGCTAGCTAGAGTGCCCTCTAGTGGCTGTCAGTGTGAAAATAACAAAGATGTAAATTTTCAGTAATACAGGAGTAGCAGATACTGGTACACAAGCCTGGAGTGCCCTCTAGCGGATGTCAGTGTGAAAATAACAAACGTGAAAATTTTTTTATGTAGAAGTCACAAACCCAGGCAAAAAAAAAAACAAAAAAAGAAGTGCCACTTATAGTCTGGAAAATACGGTACAAAGTCCTTGGATGACATTCCTGTTTTTGTTTTACCAAATATTGAGAATGAGACCCAAGTACTAAATGAAGTACATCCATGGATGGCCAAAACGTAGATTTAAAGGAATTTGACATTCATTTGTGGGAGTGTAGTTTGTATTGTATTGTCTTTATATATTGGAATTGTATTTGCCTACTGTTTCTCTCTCCAGACATGAATGAGCACAGCTCCCGCAGCCACAGCATCTTCCTTATCAACATCAAGCAGGAGAACATTGAAACAGAAAAAAAACTGTCTGGAAAGCTGTACCTGGTCGACCTGGCCGGAAGCGAGAAGGTCATATTATAAAGATGTGATTTTAATGTGGTTGCTTTCCATGAAATACAATTATGTTGAAGATCTGCATGTGCTGTTGGAACAGGTCAGTAAGACCGGGGCTGAGGGAGCCGTGCTGGACGAGGCGAAGAACATCAACAAATCTTTGTCGGCTCTGGGGAACGTTATCTCGGCTCTGGCGGAAGGAACAGTTCAGTCAAAAACAGTTCTTTCTTATTTGTTACTGGAGGGGACATGGGCTCAGTATGCTAGAGTCATCTGACTTGGTTGAATTTCATTTTTCAGAAAACCCACGTGCCGTACAGGGACAGTAAGATGACCCGGATCCTGCAGGACTCTCTGGGAGGAAACTGCAGAACCACCATCATCATCTGCTGCTCGCCGTCTGTCTACAACGAAGCGGAGACCAAGTCTACACTCATGTTTGGACAGAGGTCTCTCCACTTCTTATTAATCTTTTACTTCTCTTTTCTCTTTTTAATCATCTGCAGGACATTATTCTTGCAATTCATACATTTTCATGTTTAAATTGTCTAGAAAAATGTGCCACTTTAAAATATACGCCTATCTGCTCTCTTATCCTCTATTCTAGTAGCCACACCCTGTTCACTGCCATTTATGAGTCTTTTGGTAACTGTGTTTGGAGCTAGCAGCTCAGAAAAGTAGGCGGAGCTTCCTACATTCTCTTTCTACACTCTGAGACTGAAAACCGCTAGTCTACACATTTTACTGTTATTTCTTAAAATGTTATATTCTAATAAATATATTTCAGAGGGACCATCAAAATAATGATAAGAAGCTGATACTGTAACTAGCAACTGGCTCAAAGGGTCAGCGTGTGGCCTAGTGTTCAGAGGGATGTGGTACAAAAGATGTAGCCCACTCTGCTACAGTAAAAGAACATTTACGTGTCTTCAGATATTTAAATTTTTAATGGAGAAATCCTAAGGCACAGGTTAAGAGGTTATTTTAACTGCCGTAGAAATAAATCAGCCAGACAAGAGCTAAAAACAAAAGGCCAGATGGTTCTCAATTTCACACTGTGCAGCCTTGTTTACCTCGACAGTATTTATAGATCGCTGATGCAGCCCATATATCTGTTAGTTGTGCAAAGCTGAAACGTTTGGCTTTTTTTTAATGACACAACAACTGCTCTTTAACTTAATTCATGAATTTTGACCGCTGAGTGGACCCTTTACTAAAAAAAATTATATAGGAATTAAAAGTCAAGACAGTGAAACTCTCTATGACACAGAACAAAACCAAAAAGAAATCTAGAAAATTAAAGCAACTTCATTTAAAACTGAAGTTTTGTTCTGATATGGTGTCTAATCTAGTCTTTCTCGGTGAATGAACAGTGGTGTGTCCACATTTTGAACAGGTTCAAATCTTTCTTTTCCATCTGCTCAGAGCCAAGACCATTAAGAACACAGTGTCTGTCAACCTGGAGCTGACGGCCGAGGAGTGGAAGAAGAAAT